GTTCAGTCCGAAATTATACATGCATATTGTAAACATGCTCAATTTTTTTCAAGTCAATCTAAGCCTCTGTATTTGAGTTAACATTGCAAAACGAAAAAAATAAGAAACTAAGAAAAATGCGTGTAAAGTTTTTAATACATATTTTCATAAGTATTAAGAACTAAAACTAAGTAAAAAATTTTTTTGTTATAGTTTATGATCCAAATAAATTGTGTTAAAGGAAAATTCTCGGTTTCAATTCATTTTTTTTGTAATAAATTCCCCCAAAAAAGCTTCATTTTCGACCAATATGACTGCCTAGTCCCCTTAAGATTCGTCTTTCGCCAGCTAACAATAAATGCCGCGTTTATTTTACTCTTGTGTTTCTTCTAATCAAGCCAAGCAACCGTTGGTATCACAATCGAAGTCAAGTGACCATCAAGAATCTTTTCATAGAGTCAATAGCAAATCATAAAACCGAAAATCGAAGGGAATTAAATCGGTGAAAAGGAACTCAGCCGCACACAGTAATACCGACAATGCACCACGTTATTTTTATTACTTTTGTAAGTCTTTTCGAGATGGTGAAAGCACTCTGTAAAGCAGGAACGCGTTAACTGCCAAGCACTGACAAGTAGAAGTCTCTCCGGCAACGTGTGGCCGCAATAAAGCATTTAATCGACTCACGCAACCGTGCTTTATTGATTATCCGATTTCAATACACTGCCCGGTATCATCTACTGATTGAATTGAACTGGTAACGTGAAATAACGTAATATCAGATATGCGTACATCTTCATCGTATTGTGTCTAAATGTTAAAGATTGAAAGCTACTTTTGGTACCTACAATTAATATTATAATGATAAAATAAAAAAATAGGAAGGATTAAATTTTGGATTATAATCAAAATGGGTGAATAAATTTTAAGAATAAATAAAAAATTCTTATCATAGGTTGCAAAATGTTATTATTGTTATATATACGTGCTAGCGCGGCATAATTCTTATTAAGCAAATAAAGAACATTTAATGTTATCATATTGAGGCACGATATTTCGCGAAAAAAATTTCATGCGATCAAATAGCATGGTTCCAATAGTTTCTTGTATGCGAAGATTTGCGTCATTCATTTAACGAGGCCGCGGAATTGATACGTTCTCGGCATTTTGCATTTTCTTGATGAAAAACAAATATTGGAGCAGAGCGTAACCATCGAGGATATTGATTATCGAGCATATCGAATTGCTGGACGCGTTTTTCATCAGTGCATCATCCTTCGTTGTTTCATCATTATAAATTGAGAGAATCCACATCTCGATAGCGCGTGTCTGGTGAATAATTGCTTTCGCTGCCGTGTATTGAGATTTACTGTACCTTAGCAAGTATATATTGATCGATTAAAATCTTACATATTTGAATCTATTTGACAAATATTATTTAGAACAGTACATCTCCGTTATCTACATATCTGTTACTCGCGTAATAGAATTTTTGACTACATATGTTTGGAAGCTGCAGATTTAGGAAATATCTATAAATATAAAAATAAAGTTTTTTTTTTAAGGTATCCTTAAAAAAGCATTTAAAATTGCAATAACTTTTATTGGTTGTCATACAAAAATAAAAGATTAATATTTATCATAATCAGAATGATGATTTATTACAATCTGTGATGATAAACGAAAGTTTATTACAGTCATATATTTTAAAATTTTTTGCTAGAAAATTAATGATTATAAATTTGTTTCTTGTATATTTTTGTATTAGGTACAAGTTCAAATATTTCGCAAGATTTCAAAACTACATATAATCACGCATCATATTTATCTACGAAGATGTAAAAAAAAAGAGAGAAACTGGCGGCAATTGCGAGTCTTGCTTTTTGTATTCACATCTTTTGTCTCACAATTCAGAAACCATGTCAGATCCATGGCGTTCATTCGTAACTCTCGTTCCGTACGCGAGAAGATTAAAAATTCCGAGACTGTGCTCTCTCGCCGTTGTGTGTTTTGAGACACGGTACGGCGTCTTTTTCAACTCTTCCCGCAATCTCCTCCCGCAGGAGGCTGACTATCGCACGAGCCATCTCTCGAAACCTTATCTGGAGCGATGGTGACGGTCGACTGAAGTACCGCAAGGAGTGGCCTCTTTGCGGGAGAAGAAGAAAAAAAAGAGCAAACGGAAGACGTTTCCTCGTCTTACGTTATACTGTTTGATTTTTTCGAGAGTGCATCTCTCAAAATCGAGAATTATATCGAGAGAGAGAGAAAGAAGTTTGAACACGGAGAATCATTTGAAGCAACGTAGCGATTTCTTATTGTTAATAAATTTTATATTGCAATCAATATCGTAAAAACTATTTGTGATTGGATACACGATCACAATTATATCTTCTTCCTTTATCTTAATCCGTTGTAAAATTAAATTATTTTCGGTAAATAAAATTCGTGATAAGATTTATGATACTTTAATAAATTTTGATAATTAAATTATTCGATTTGTAATTCCGTAAAATTAATATCAAAATCAATATGCTATGTTGCTTCATATTTGCATTTCGCGAAAAATTACGTTGAAAAAGTTAGAAATGTTATGCTAAATTATTTTCAAAAGAGTCTCACATATTCTGTACATTCTGTAATGTTGGGGTTTTGCGTGATTAATACAATGAAAAGTCACAAAGTTCTTATCACACAACAACTCATAAAAATTTCATAATACATACTCGCAATTTGTAACTTGCCGAAATTGATCGGTAAATTATTCTGTGCGCTGTGTGCGCATATATAATATACATTAACCCTTGGTATTGGATGAATATCTATACCTCGGGTTATCCGTTAACACAACGTGATTGCTGCAATATCTATAACCATCAACGTAATTGAGAGAGAAATAGCTTAGAATCGGTATAAACGCGATAGGATAACTAATTTAGAATGACAATCATTACGCAATTGCATAGTAATGATAGCATTAATAACAAATAATGCCATATTCGTAATTATCGTATTAATCGTCAATCGTGCGGCAATAATGATAAATAATGCAAATACGAGCATGATTCATTGAAGCGAATGCTGTTGTCAAACTAGGGCACGCTCCCCAAAAAACCTTTTCATATTTTTTTCGATAAAATAGAACGTTACTTCCATTACTGACGATAACGTAACAATCAGTCTACAATGGATTAATTTAGTTTGAAGATTGACGCTTTATATAAATTATAAAACATAAATTTCTATGTTTACACGTGTGCGTAATATTATAAAAATAAAATAGAAAACATGTAGAATGCATGTGTGAATACGTGTGTGACACGAAAGAAATTGCCTTTTAAATAATAAACACTCACAAATCATATTCTAAAAAAAATCATTAAATATAGTGCATGCCACAAAATGCACATGCACATAAATTTCTAAACGAGCATCGTCCGCGACCGATCGAATAAGCGTTTAAGTTCCATGTCGAAAGAGTCACAGAAAATTTCTTAAGCGACTTTAGTTATGATTCTCGGAGTAGGTAATCTCGGGTAAGAGCCGGGTTGTTGGCCAACACGATGAAAACGGTAAGCCTTTAAGGGGTTGAGAGGTGACAAAATGCGAGTAATCGGCGTCGAGACGCCGAAATGATGCTACAATATTTCGAGGCGTTTCACGGTTATTTCTTTGTAATATCGTAAAGCTATCCAATGGCAGGGTGTATTGTGCGATATACGATGACGCTGCTGAACGCTTATTACTATAGTAAACTGTTGCTACGAAGAAATAGTATGGTCATAATGCCGATCAAATCGACGCATTAAGACATATTTATTGTATACATTTATATATATACACATATATTTTATATGTATGTTGGTATATATATAAAATAATACTTTATATGTGCGTTCGATAATTTGTATTGCAATATGATATAACTATTCGAGAAATAAATTTTCTGATACATTACTAATCAACCCAACATTTGGAAGTATATCTGACTATAATAATAATAATAATTAATAATAATAGTTTTTTTGAAGTGCAAGAGATATAGATGTTCTACACGAAGACAAATGTGATAGAGAACAACACTTCAAGAGATGAAGCATCAGCAATGATGCTGCATATAAGCCTAGACTTTTAATATAATCGAATTAATATAACAATAAATACTCTTTATGATCTAATTAGTATAGGAATAAAATTGTACTCTGAAATAAATCTATATAATCCAAAAGAAAATTACAATTGTTTATTAAAAATTACCATATAACTCGCATTTCCGTCAACACTCGCCCTTCTCCATTTCATTGTTCGATAAAGTCGCAGACGCGAAAAGAGAGATGCAATCGTCACCAACGGGGACGGGGACAGAAATGAAATTCACAGGACGATACAGCTATACGAGAGCAACGCGGGCATAAAGGGCACTTTCGCTAAATTATGCATAGAGCATGAAAAATTCCCATGGCGAGTCCGGATCCCGACTTCCACGGGCTGCATAAGGAGATTCGCATTATCGTGCATGTTGAATGACGGGCAGCGAGAGGGAGAAACCCGAAGGGTGGCCAAGAGGCCGGAGAGCAGCCGGTAGTAGTATGAAATTTTAAAAGTAGTACACGACGAAAAGCATGTCCGGAATCGGAACCGTTCTGCTTCCGAAGAGCATCGCGAGTGAGCGAGTGAGTTTTCGCGCGAAGTGATCTGCAGAATTTCACATTAAATATATTATGTGCTTTTGACGTTTGTCTTTCTTTCACCAATTACATCTCGACAGACTGCATTAGAAAATTCTAATTAAAAATTTTCGTTTGGATTTCTGCTTTTGCTGCTTGGCCCAATCTTATTTAATCTATTTTTTTTTGCAAACTAGCAAAAATTTTAAATGAAAATTGAGATGTTTCTGCAGCAAAATTTTCGACATACCTTGAGACCTTCTCTTGTAGCTTAAATTCTATCAGCGTTCAACATTTCCTTTATAAAAGTTTGAGAATAAGTGACATCTTACGGAAAAAATTGTTTTGTTTCAGGCCGTTGCTAAAACAAATCAAGAATTCTGCGGAGTCGCATATCGTGCTCGACTGTTCCACCGAGAGGATCTACGACGTGCTGAAACAAGCGCAACAGATTGGAATGATGAGCGACTATCACAGCTACCTTATCACGTCACTGGTAGGTACCCCCAAGATTAAATGCGATTAACAATCGACTTTCCGTCCGTCATAGGCCACGGAGTAATCCGGAGTAGACACGTAAGAGTCGCGAAATTGCATCAGGCGCGTTGCTTGTAAGACTAATTCTCGCAATCTTCATCGTCTGAGCCACCTGCGGCTCTCTCCCTGTCTTCGGTGCCTCCCTGTCAAGAAAGCTGCGCCGAAGGAGTTGGCGCTTTCCCACGAAGACTCAAGATCGATAACTTTACTCCCGGAATATTTGAACCTCTCGTAAATTACCACTAAAAAGACAAGGGATCGCTCACCGTACGAACGGTTCAAAGATTGCCATCCGCCGTCAGTGAGAGAGATCCGCCGTGATATACAGCGAAACGTAAAATGCAGCTCAACGTGACGTTGAATAACGTTCGCGGTATTATTTTGTGATAGTAGCAAATTTGCCCGATTATTTATTATTTTAAAGATAATAATTTATTCTGCCACGCTATGAAGTCGCGAAGCAATATGATAGATTCTATTGATATACGCAGCGAATAAATCATTATTTAGGATAAGGGTAAAAATGATATATTTCAATTTTTTTAAATAACACACTTAATAGTAATTTTATAAAATATTAAAATTAAGGATCTGTTAAAAATTATTAAGACATCAAAATATATCTTCGAGCTACAAAAAGCCCCTTAGATTGACGTTAAATGTTAAAAAGGGACATCGACTCTATAAGACCGATAACGCAAATAAGATTCAATAAATTATGTCTTTTTTTTATATCAGATTAGAATACAGTTCCAAGGGAAGAGAATAATTTTCGTGAATAACTAATTTAATCGCGAGAAAAGGGGTTATCGCGAGATCTCGAGTATGGAATGTAATTTTTAATTGCAATACAAGGAGTAAAGTTTTTAAATTTTGCTTTACACGCTCCGCGTCTGCAAGCTCATTGCGAGCATGATGAAAACGTTACGCAGGCAAACGCGCAATGTGACTTTTGAATGAGTAAAAAGCGAAAACGTCGGCCTGCTGCAGTTAAAATTGGAAGCTGTCTCAGGATAATTAGTAATTTACAGCCGTCTCGACAGTGCGAGTTGAAGGCAGGCGTCACGTCAGTCGGGGACGCTATGAGAAGCGCGTCGTCGCGCCGACGACGCCGACGACGCGACGCGACGCGACGCGACTCGACATCCGCGACGGCAATAAGTGATAAAAAATAAATAGGGCTTTAAACGGACACGCTATATAACCGCGAGCGACGCAATTTATCTCGGTACTTTTCCCCCTTCCCCTTACTAGATTTCAATTTAGATCCATTAAAATGTAAATCAGCGAGGGTATTTGTTCGAGCGCGGAAGAATCGAGCTACGTTCTTTTTCCCCCCCGGGCTTCTTTCCGTTGACTCTGTACTGACGATGGTCGGTTTGTTTTACGGGAAAAACACCGATTAATACCGACGGCGAATGTACATCGGTCGCCGATATTGGCCAATTCCAGTTTAACGGTGTAACAAACGATGAATCCTAAATTAATCGTAAAATTTCTTCCATTATTTTGCTTTATTTCACTGACGCGGATAAGTGCAAAATCGCTTGCATCTTCAATGAACCAGTAAAAATTGATATATTATCCGTTTAATATTTATCAACAGTAACTTGAGGAAGATTAATGAGGTTGGCTATGTGCGTATGTATATAAATTTTCATTAATAATATATAATCGTCCCTAATGGTTCCCCTGTAAAATTTGCATCGTTTAACTTAGCTATCAGCTTAAACTATTAATTTATAAACTGTGCGTGGGATGTTTACTCTTAATATTAATTATTACGCAAACGAAAGAAAAATCCCGAAAATAAATGGAGCGGAGCTATTAAAAAAAAAAAAAAAAAAAAAAAAAGAATTTTAACCGAGTGTAAACGAAACGTTATCTAATATAATGGGAAAGCAAATGATAAATTATTAGTTGGGAGAGGTGTGATCAGATTGCTCGACACGATAAAGCTCGGCGAAATGAAAAGGATAGGAAGCTGCTTAATAATTGCTTAATGCCGCGACCGATCTCCATCGCACCGGGGGAATTTAACGGTGTGCCCCGCTCGATTCCCGAGACGATATGTCTCGCGTTGGAGACTATTTATTTTCACTTACGCCGGTCAGTCGTCAAGGCTCTCGGAGGGAAAAATTGGCCATCATCCATCAACCTGACCTTTCCGCGGCACAGGATCGGGGAAGCACGGCTGTGTTACACGCGGTCGGATATAGGTATAACACACACCGTTAGCCCAGAGCGCCCTTTCCCTCGGCGGATACCGGGTAAGAGCATTAATGAATCCTGCTCGGTCACTCCGGCTTGGCTTTCGACGAATTGCCTTTCATTGAATTAAGTTCGCCTCATAAAACAGTGATTTCGCAATGAAATTATGGGAGTCTGTTCTCTCGCGCGGGTCCCACGGTGGAGAGCTGAGACCATGTACGAATTTTGCTTTCAGCATTCTGCTTCTACGAATTTATGGGTGGCGTCGACGCGTACACCCCCAGTCCCCGCGCGATCATTACGGTTATTATGCCTGTTACGGTTACGATGATTGTTATAGTCGTTATAGTCTTGGCCGCCATTAAAGTGCTTATTACGGACATCCATCGCTTAGGATGATACGCCCTTGGATTTTCACGCTACACTTTGGAGCTCTTGAGCTCGTCCCGGGAATATCCTATTCCGCGCTGAAATAGAATACTTCTCAAGCAAAATTCCGTTCAAATAAAACGGCTTTCAACACGGCCTTTAATCAGAAAACTGTGAAAATCGCGAAAATCGCTTAAAGAAGTTAATTAGATGGCTACGAAATCCTGAAAGCCTTTAAAGAAATCACGTTTACTTTAAAAGAAATTTGTACATTTATTTATTAACCCACCAAATTAGCAAAGTATTTAATTAATTATTAAGTACGAAGATGTAATCTGATATTATTAGACGAAACTAAACGTTAAATGTAAAATTCGAACTAAAGATGTTAATTTAAACTAAACTGAGATTTAATCACGGTAATTACGGATCTTTCACTATTTAATGTTTTTACTAAAAACGGAACAACTATTATCAATTTCTAATATGTATTTCAATCTGCATAATGTGAGCAAAGTTAATAGAATTTTTACAATGGGAAAATATTTTTCCATCATATGTATTCTTTCTTCAAAACATAAAATAGCTAACGCAAAATTAGCAAAAGAATTCTTATCGGTACATAATTGAAGGGTAAAAAATTACAAGGGGAAAAAATCAAAGTCCACTTTGTGTCGAAATTAATCTGTTTATGCTATCTTGTGACATTTTCAACGAACAAAATGATTCTTATCTGTTTCGATCAAGAACAATAAAAATTCGTTGGAAATAAGGTCGAAAGATGTATCGTGCTGGGGAAAAACAATAGTCCACGCGCTTGTAGGGATAAGAACCATCCAACATAAATGTAAACACTAACAATAAGTAAACACTATACATATTCCGATATTCATTGTTAGTACTCTCAATAGCTTCCTAAGATATCTGAGGTCTCGAAACTTAAAATTGTTGTTTCCCTCGAAATTACTCCGGATGGACATTGAGCATCGTTTTTCCCCTGTACTCTTCAACTGTCACCGCAATCGTATAATTATAATCGACTGCAAAAATTAAATATTTAAAATACCGCTGCAAAATATTTTCTTTCACCGATTCGCCATGTTTGTACGGCGCCATAGTACACATCGATGTACAAAAACTGAACATCTGTCAAACGATGATGTTCTCCGCGCCCACATAGATTCGCTGGCTGTTCCCGTTTCACAACAACAAGTTTACGAGCCAACGAAATTCCGTGATAGACTCCGTAACAACCACGCATGGACGCAGTGTTGTGTGAAAAGCGATATTCTTGCCGGGATCTATCATATGCCGCGAGCACGATGATAACGCACTCAGAAAAAAAAGCCATTCTCTTTGTTACTCGCCCGTATGTTAGTCTTGTTGATAAACAAAAATCCGATAGTACATGTATATTTATACATATACAATAGCTTTGGTTCCGTATCGAGACGGACACGCGAGGAGAGTAATCTATTTTCCAATGTAACATAGACGAAAACTATCCGAAAAAAGACGTGCCACGATCATCGTCGAATCGAGTAACTGATGCGATCGGTAAACTATATATGAAGGGTAAATAACAAAGCTTCTCTTCTACGGGTATTAATTTAATTCTTAAAGGCTACTTGGGTTCACATTTGGACCTAGAGTCTATTTCAAACGCTCATTCATGTTGCTAAAATTGCACCTTCAAAAATCGACGTTTTTGAACAATTTAATATTAATTATTGACAAATTTTTTAATTCTATTATTTTCTTCAGTCTTTCCTACCTTGATTTCACGTATAATTTTTTTTTTAATTTGGTTGATTAGACCCTGCAGAATTATACGCGAAAGTTGCGAGGACCATACATGGACAGCGTAGCCTCAAGTGGTCGAGACTTGAAGTGTAGCCTTTAAGGGTAGAGATTTAGTTACCGCGTAATCCTCGGCGCGCATAATGCGAAAGGAATTTCGCGCGTTTGAAGCAGCGTGTTAATAAAATGTTGCATGCGAGAGACATAAATCGCCACACTGAAAAAGGTTGCACAAGTGGGTGCACGCAACAACAGCACTCGCCATCGTATCCTCACAGGCACTTTCGAGTTTTCATCGCCGTTGTTCCCTCGCTTTATCAGTTATTCCTGCGATGACAATAATCAGTGCATACGTACAATATTACATTGTGTATATTAAATGCACATCTCGAGTGAAGTAATTGGAATTGATGAGCAAATGGGGTAACATAATGATTTTCCAATGATAAAATGAGCGCAGCAACTTTAAACTCGTTAAAAAGTGTACGTATGTGTGTGTGTATGTGAGTGAATAAACGGATTTAAATAAATAACCATTAATTTTATCATCGGAAAGTGTTCTTCGCATTATACTCAAAGGTATTCATTAACATTATATATTATTTATTTATGTTTATATTTATTGAACCTATATCTATAACAATTATATAATCCATATATCATTCATATATCATTATATACATGTCTATATATCATTTTCTTGTTTATCTGTTATTGCTTCTGCAAACACCAATAGTATCATGAATAATTAATGTGTTTGAATAATTCAAAGTCTTCTATATGTACATATAACAAATTCGATAACAGCAATTTTTTAACAAAGATTTTGATATATTCTATTATTGAACTATTTAGTATATATTCTATTTATTATTTACTAGATTTTACTGTTTTGGTATTTACTATATTTTTTTTTTATTATTATTTAATATTTAATACTATAAGTATAATGATTAATTATGTCCATTTCTATATCAATGCAGATTAATTTAATCTCGGTTTAGCTTACTTTTTATCTTTTCCTAGTTTTTAAAATTTCCTAGTTTTTAAATCTACATTGGTAAAAATGGATATAAATCTTATGTTAAGTTTGTGTTTGCGAAAATTTTTTTGATCTTTTATTTATTCCAAAATAATTATTGATAGGTACTATAATTTTATTTCTAAAAAGTCGATTCTACGTACGTTGATATTTTACTTCATTAAGCGTGGGTGCAAATTTTGAACTTACTGATCTTCATAATCTTCTAACTTGCGCTACCAAATGATTCCTTTTATGGTCTCCATCTTCGTGTTGCCTCCCGAGAGATTCGGTAATCGTGTTGCGCAACGATCACCAAAGGGGTGATAAAGGACAGAACGGGATTAAGGACGAGGGAAATTCGTGGACGTAACGGAGAATGCAGTTCCATCGACCGCGCGTTATTGCGCGGACGGCAAGCGATATCGTCACCGCGTTGCGATGTGTATCTTGAAAGAGTGCAAACCGGATGTAGCTCGAGGCGAGACGATGATCAATCGCTGCGCGGCGGTCAATCGATTCGCGTGACATCGCGGGAACGTATACGATGTCGCCAACTGTGTCCACCTACTTGGCGAAGAGGGAGGGAGATCGGGAACACGGACTTATCCATCATGCTCCGGATGCGGGACAAAGGATAATAAATGGCCGCGACGCGATCCCTCGCGAGTATTTGAAAAGATGGACCGGGATGGACGCGCCTTCGAGCTGCACGCGACTTTAAATCACGTCGGCCCACAAGCGTCACCGCGCGATACAGATACCGGCCTCTGAGAGCAGACGCTTCATGCTTGAGTTATCTCCACTCCTGTCGATACCTACTGAATACTATCATGAAGAATACAAATTCAAACGTCCTTCCTGCCTCAGATGCCAATCGCGGCGAATATAAATGGCGATGCGTTTCATACCCAATATTATATATTTCATAGTAATTCTGAAAGAGAGAAATGTACACGAGGAATGATCGATCCAGTTCGTCAGGCCGACGATTGCTGTATCGAAAGTTTTGTTTTAATACTTTAACGTATTTTACTATGGCTATCTAATCGAGAATCAATACTAGTACACATAAAATGTACTTCTATTTTCTTCAACTCGCATATCCGGTTCGAATTACAAGTCAAATATCGAAAATTATATGCATAATTTGAGAAAAACATACCGAATCTCTTTTTATTTATTTTATAGTACATTTAACAATTATAGAAATAAATCCTCTTTTTAATGAAAATATTAATGAAAATATCATTAATCGTAATTTAATTAAATCTTCAATGCTCAATATTTTGATCATTAAAATTAATAAATTAATAATAAACTCGAATTAAAATCTATAGCTAAATATTTATACTGATATAATTATATGTTTATTTCTATTACATGTATTTATTTGAACAATGTAAATGCGATGTTTCAACACAATATATTTTACATTATACACAAAAGCGTGTGACTCTTTCCACGTTGGAATTATTTGTTATCTCGCTCCTCTTACGCTTGTCAATACAAAATCCATTAACTGAGAGGCGTTCGCAAATCGCTTACGCTGCTTTTATGACTTCTTCATCCAATATAAAACATCGACCTTTCGATTTCCCTTTGATTGCTGGGAATAGTCAGAAATCGTGGAGAGCGAAGGACGATACGGTCGACCGGAGAACAACCTGGATGCTTTTTTTTTCTTCTAACAAGTCGGACACGAGATTTTTGCAGCGTGAAAAAACTGACAGACCTGAACTATTATAGGAAACAAAACATCAAATCTCTGGAGTCGAACGGAAATCGTCCAGCTTTACTAGGTTCGACATCTGTGATTCGCGGGATCCTATACGTAATCTGAAACAAGTCGTGGAACGTCACGAGAAAATATCCTCCAGAAAATCTAACGTCACATTGGCTTTACCATGTGAATCCGATTGAGATTTATCTTATATGGTTAAATCACGTTCAATTAAATCATAAAATGGAACTTCCAACGAAAGTTTTACCTTACCAACTCGATTTGAAACATAATTCCTGCTTCTTCCAGAAAATATTTAGATTTTATTATTTGCATGCTCGATATTGGGAAAGAGAGAGATTTTTAATTCGTAAAAATATAGAATTATTATTTTTACATCGTCGTTTTCTATAACATTCATTAATACGTTACGATAACATTTGTGAGACCGAATAATATTCAAGCGATCGATAGAAAAAATATCTAAGGCAATTTCTAAAAATTGAATACAAGTGCATGGTCACTCATAAAATCTATCAAATGCGATAACACAGAAAGAGACTATATACACAGTAAAAAATCGTGTGTCCAAATGTTAAAATTTTCTTGTGCTACCAAGATTTGACTATTATTTCAATGTAAAATTAACATACAACAGCTATGTTATTATTTTCGTAACATTTTCATGTGTTATATTAATGTCAACGTGATAACTTAACACTTTATGTATGTCATTTAGAAATTGAATATTATTTTGAGTCCTTTTAACATAATTATTTCAAAAAATCAACACGCTTTAAAGTTATTTTAACATAAACAAAAGTTAAAGTAAATCTTCAAATAATCGTAAACTTTGACATACAAAATAATCAAATTTACTACAATCAAATGTTCAAAACAACATTTCTCTTAAGTTGAAATAACTATCGTTTATTCAAATATGTTATATCGACATTTTTTACAAGTTATTTTTACATTATACTTAAAGTTAAAAGAACAAATATAAATGTAAAATATAGTGTCAATAAATTAACATTTCTAATTTGTCAACAAGTAACACACGATGAATGAGTTATTTTAACTCAAAATTTAAAATGGACTTTCTGGGACATTTGAAAAATGTTACGATTAACATTTTATTTTTTACTGTGTATTCCACAGAGTACCTAGACTGCAGCTGATATGAAATTTTATAATCTAGAAGCATGTAACTAATGAGAATTCACGTCACGATCAATCCGAATTCTTTTCAGGACTTGCATACCGTCGACTTAGAAGAATTCAAGCACGGCGGGACCAATATCACTGCCTTTCGATTAGTGGACCCGGAGAAGCCGGAAATCCAGAAGGTAATTCAGGACTGGATCTACGGTGAGAAGCGCTACAATCGCGAGCTCGACATGGGACAGAACAGTAACAAGGTAAGATGCATCTCACATGGAAGTTAACGATAACCGGAAATGGATTGCCGTATAGGAAAGAGCAGGCCACTATACGGCGTCATATTGAAGTCGTTTATTTTACCGATGTCGATATTTCGCTCTCAAAGTTCGTCTCGGGTATAAAGTATATAAATATATAAATAATACCCGACGCGAGATATACGGCGTCGCAAAGTATAAGCGTACGATGTTATGTAATGCAAATGCAAAGATCGTTTCACGGCGAAATATGTTCCCGTCCTTAAAGCGGCCGCGCGCCGTCTCACGTAATAACACTCTAATTTCGCATTCTTCGCGCAAGCCCGCTTGACGGCCGCATCGATCTACTTCTTCTCCGGTTCTTTCGCTCTCGCGAAAGACTTAGCGCGAGCCGGCTCGCGCTCTTTGACATGGCCGAGAATAACGGGGGCGAATGTAATAATTGGGTATTACCCCCATTTGGAACTTGACTACCGCCCGTGAGGAAATTGAATTCCCTGTGACACGTGCCGATTCTCATAAGAATGCAAATACCGCAAAAGACCTGAACGACTGTCGTGTCGTCCCGTTCTTGATTCCGTTGAACGAACTCGCTGGCTATTAGTACTATGTGTGACGCGAGAAAATTAAAATCTTTGTGATTATACAGGCATGCACAGCACTACTTTATCACTAAATTACCTACGTTTCTTCTCTAATGAATTGAAGGCCAAGATAAAGTATAACTATGTCAAGCTAATCACAATATTCTGATTATTAAAAATAGGACGGTATATTAGCAAGATAATGCCCCCAATAAATTATCGCGTTTAATTTTACATGAATTAGCTTTTAATGTACGGCTTACCAAAATGTCATTTAATAGACACAGGAAAAACATTACAAATTAAAGCCAACCAAATTTTTGTTAGAAACAAATTGATCCGTTAAGAAAGTAGAAACTGCATCTTTACTATATTCAGTATATTTGCGTGAAATTATGTAAGCATTAAGAATACACAGACATGAACTTATATGAATATAACTGTTTTCTGTATATGTCTTGAGCTTTGGAGCGAAGATATTCAAATCCGAGAGTAGTAAAATTCCTGAAAGCTTTCGAATCTATCTACTTGGAGTTTTTGTTACTTTCCATCTGAGATTTTTTTTTCAATAAGGATAGAAAAATGTATCGATCAATATTATTCTATATTTCAAACTATATATATAAAGTAATTAATAAACTACACAGTTGGAATATTTGTGTTAAACATAACATAAATCACATGCAATATAAAACACATGTTTCAAACGGTCCACTATTTTTGTTAATTTAATATAGTTTTTAAATTATTTTAACAATTTTATATTTGTTAAGTTCAATTAACATAGCAGACATTTGTTAAATCTACACATATATGTATTGATTACTTTACACAAAAACTTTAAGCAGCATATTTTTTTTACAAAAGTATAAAAATTTCCCAGTGTACATATATACATATATAAAGTACGTACATCTAGCACGCGCGTGTTTATGCGTCCCAATTCTCTTTGTTGTAAATCTCTTGTATACCTGTGACATACTCCGCGTAAAAGATTCATCTAACAATAAGAATTATTTATTATAAGACAAAAAATTACATCTATATTAAATTCTCAGGTGATTTCAGTTTAAAATATTAAATCTATAAATAATAAAGCTAAAACACTTTCTAAGACTGATTGCTTGAAATAAGTGTAAATCTTAAAATATTTTTAAAATAATAATTTTACTAAACTAAAGCAATGTACACATCTCTGTATTATTATATTAACAAGCATCAGCATCAAGCTAGAATACTATTTTATTGTTATATTATACACCGCAACTGTAATATTATATTACGCAAGTTTATATCCGTACAGCGTAATGTTAGTAATGTTAATATGTATACGGCGAAACTACAAGCAAGTTGCTCTTCAATTCCACATCACATATAACTACCTTCTCGGTTCTCGGAAACCGCAAACACCTCTCCGTTTTTATGCGCGCGCCTCGAATTTGAAGAGGCCAGGTCAGATAGAACGTAGTCCATGCGTAAACATGATTTCCGTGTTAGTTTCGCTGCGGGTGCAGTTCGCGTACTACTTCCTTTACTTCCGTAAGCCGATTTCAAAATACAATCCATATACGAAGGCGAGAAACGTCGCGCGCGCGACTCGCAGCGTAGGAAATTACGTGTGCAGTTTACCTACTTCTGTGCCGAACACACTCTGTACACGGCGCGGCGTAATGAAACGACGGCAAATTAATCGGTATATACGTACATAGACGGCGTACATGAAAGTACACACGAGTTTGCAGGTACTTCCATTAGGTGTCGACATTTTATTGGATGTATCGATTAAGTCGATATACCGACGTCCTGTATGGCGTTACAGCGTAAGATTTAACGTCAACAGCGTCAGAATCTATACGAAATATAATAATTCATCAGATTTTCACATAGGACATGTACAACTTTGCTCAAAATTGTTAAAAGATTTATTATCGTCATATTATTATCACCCATCGCAACGTTTAATCCTCTCAATCTATGATATTAATTAAATCCTCTAAATAATGTTCGTAAAACTTACTTTTCGTACAATATAATAATGCATTACAGTGAATAGAAATTCATTAGTATTGAGTGACACGCGTACATAGATTCAAAGAGACAAATCGATTCAGAGACTAATCGCTTGTTTTTTGCTTAACGACTCGTTGATTGAGCGTCACTCAATTAATGACACATAGGTAACAATTAGGGAATGACTAATCACGATGTCTCGTGAAATAGCAGTCTTTGCTCCTTTATCTTCATTCATCTGTCAAGATTACTCGAGTCAGCACCCTCATTCTCACCATTGTTCCATTTATATCTGCAGCTTGTCGTCCTAACATGCTAACATATAATCTACTTTACGTGGTTCCTCACATATGTGCGTGAGTAAAGAAAGCATTTATAAATATATAGATATAACATATAACTATATATAAAACATAATTTTCGGAAGGATGCTTATAAATTACCAATAAAAAAAGAATCGCTAATTATCATTAACAATTATTTTCTTGATTAAATTTACATCGTTCTTACATCTTAAGTCTTAAGCTTGAAGAGCATAAGTCTGTCTAACGTTTTTTTTGCTAATAAATAATGGCTAATAAATATGGCTTGTGTCAAACCATCATATTTCGTTGTAGGAACATAAATACAGTCTGGTCTCGTAAACTTCGAGTGGCGTAAAATAAAAATTTAAGGATTTTAAGAGTGAATCTTGCACGATGCGTTGCTGCCACACGCCATAAAAGAAGCGAATATAACGAAACGCCAATTCGCGAAAAGCGAATTATATCGTCCGTCGCATCTGGCACGGCATCAACTGCAGAAAAGTTGAGAAGCGCGAATCCGTATATACGTTCGGCTATTTCGACGGAAGCAACATCTGCTGGGTCCAGCGCGCCCGGGCCCTTAAAAAGGCCAATTTGCTCGGACACGGTTGCACGTTCGCACAAACTTCCCAACAACTTTTTGCCGATGTTCTGCGGTATACGTAGCTGCAGTACCCCGTACGCGAGTATGTGACGGATCTGCTGCATCGTTCGTTGCAGCGCGTCGCGACATTATTCCGTAAAAGATGTTTTTTTTTATGTCACCTCCCTCTTTTTCGCATGAAAGTCGCGGTGTGATTCAAGCGCTCTAATATTTACTCTGTTGCCATATAGTGTGATAAAAAATAAGGATGTACTTCTTAAGCCTATTTTTATACAATCTATTTTTTAATAACATTACTCGTGAATTTAAAATGTTATTGCATAAAATTATAGTTAATATACAGATTATTTTGTTCAATATACCAGTCTGTTTGATATGTATACTTTTATGCCTCTTTACAAAACAACGATGTTCCTGAACGTTCCTGTGAAAGCGTAAGAATTTTTAATACAAATAAAATTATAATATCTAAGATATATTTGATCTCTATACTTGCAATTCTACTCTATTATAATTTCTATTCCTTGCAATTCCCGATTTATAAGAAAATATAGCAACAGAGATAATAAAATAAATTGTTAAATGTTTAGTTTATTTTTATGAAAGTGTCAATGTTATTTATGACGTGGAATTTGCAGAATTCTTATTTAATTTCATGAATGTCTGTTAAAATTAAATAATTTGGACAAATTAATTGATATTTAAGAGCGAACTTAGCAAAACACAAAATAAATTTAGTAAAATTCTAAAAAAAAATAACTAATTGAGATCAGTAAATAATTTCCGGCATACAAAGAAAACTCTGTAATCGTTGGTTTTCTTCCACTCTGTCTCCCTTGTAATTTCAACATAAATTTTCTTTTAGAAAAACGTATGATCCGTGACCCGTTCATAATGCAAAGAAAATAATTCTGCTCAGGCATGTGATAAATTGCATGTGGTAATATTAATAAAAAAGATATAAAAATTTAAAATTTTCTTCCAATCGCATTATACTCATATGGTCACGCTTACAGTAAGAACGAAAAAGATATTATACATATATAATAAATGTGTTAGGTCGAATTAAACAATCATTTTTGTTAGAACTATTACTGGCTAAGCAAAAGAATATTTTATATATATTCAAAACATTTCTTTCTCTCACTTATACTTTTGATCCTCACATTATTCAAAGCCTTCATAATTTCGTATATTTTAATTTTGATCAACTAATTAATTAATATAGAAAAAAATTACATATATTTCAAGAATATTAATCCACGTCTACTGTACAGTAATAATTCAACACATACTGATCTAATTTAAACTTAAGAGAAAAAATGCTATAATCGAAAATATTACTATCGAGAATACTGCTCGATATTAATTACTAATTAATAATTACTTGATATTTGTTTTCGAAATGTACAAATCTGTATTCCCTTGTCTTTTGAGACTTATTCACGGTAAAGAAATAATTGCACACAACTCTTTTTTATCAGGAACATGCCTCCGCGTACATTGTTTTCTGTCACATGACATAGGCGACAGAATTCGCGGTGGCTTTCCCGTGACATGGAGAGACAACCAATAGTTCACGGAAGATATATCATCGTGGCGACAGATAGTGCGTCTTCGATACTCGCTTCGAAGAGAGGAAAATAACGAAATGCCGGCACAAAGAAACTCTCTCTCTCTCTCTCTCTCTCTTTCTTTCTCGGTCGACTTTTTTGTACGATCTTATAAAATAAAACTTATAAAATCGTCAATTGGAAGTCGCAAAACGAATGGCGCCAAAGACTGCGCCATCGATTCGTGGCACGCAGAGACGCTAGTAATAAAAACTTTCTCAATTTGCCAGTTTCATCAGGCACAGTGTCGCAGCTTTACGAGGTGCCGCCCATCAGACTTCCCACCGTTAAAATTAGAAATATAAAAATTGCGGAATAATAAAGAAAAAGAGTAAGCGAGCTTCTTGAATAATCCGAATAATACCTACAGTTTTTCACACTCGGCAATTAATAAAAAAAATACTAAATATATAAAGCCTTAATCTTTCGATGATAATACATTCATTAGTTACTTTACTTTACTTTTGTTTTGTAGATTTTAGAAAGATTAAGAAATCAGATCATATATTCAATAACTTAAGAATACGTGAGCCGTGATGAATAAAAAGTAGATTGATTTCGTTCTTCTCCATCTATACAAACGGGAAAACGTTTTTCATTCTTATGGAACGAATCCTTCTAAGACCGTACAATTGACAGAAGACCTCCAAATAGACGTCTTATTCATGAAAGATTTATCAGTATATAAAAGACTATTTCTTTCTCCATTAATTTAAGGACGTTCTATAAACCCACACGCAGCCACATTTAAGAAAATATATAAATGCCTGGAGAATCAAATAAATGTATTGACATATGATTAATCCATTTTCTCAAGTAATATCGGTAATACCTTCCAGAAAAACAGAAATGTTTAATTGTCTCCTAACTCAATAATTAATAATTTGGTTTAGTGTCGTATTGCGCTTATACACACAAAGTATGGACAAAACATTAAGCAGCGCCAAGACATCATTGGAACAGTTATGAGAGTTAACATATAATCACAACATCGGCGCCGCCGATTCGAGTTTTAACGACGACATTACGCAAAGGCATCGTCACATAACGAACAATCACGTTTGGGCGAATTCCGTAACGGGGATATGTCTGTCCCTCGGAGGGATGTGGGCAATCCCATTACGAGCGTGTCAAAGCCAGGCTAATTAACTCAATCGCGTACACGCGGCGACAAACAAACGGACAATACATTGATTCGATTACAGACGGGGATACAGCCCGGTGGAATCGTTAGGACCGGCAACGAGCATAAGCTCGTTATTCCAGGCTTGTGCATAAATTGCAGATTATTTTGCGACACCACTTGTCCCGTAGACTTACGTAAGAAGTTCAACGCGGTAATTACACGGCACAATTTGGTTTCTTACTAGTTAGCAAGTACATCCGGGTTTGCGACTTTCTATGGGTGATCAAAGGACTATCTTTCTTCATTCCCAGTATTTCACGCATCGAGGACACGCAGTCACAGTTATCTTCTGTCATCGAATTTAACGCCCTATACACATTATATTATTATACGCCCTACATATATTACACATTATACTTTTTACATTATAATTTATAATTCTTTTAAGGTATAAAAAAATACTTTGTACTTACCTCGATTTTGGAAAATTTAATAATTAATTGTGCTTTTCTTTTCTTTCACGCACGCGTGGAGCAGAATAATCTCACTACCATAAAGGTAAGTTAAAGATACGTTTCTTAATTGTCAGACAAATAAAACAACATCTACTGCAGAAGTAATTTTAATATAATTTATTCTGATACAGTGCGTTTACATATTTTCTAATTTTCATAAGTTTTACGGCAAGAAACATATTGAAATTAATAGATGTGCTTTAAAAAAATTTCACGACGATATAAAACGGTCGTTTTTACGTTTATAATTCATTATTCGTAAAGTCAATGAAGCGTTAAACCGATCCAACATCTCACATTTCATATGAGTGAATTATCTGCGAAAAGCGAGAACGTTTAATCAAGAACGTCAATCGATTCATTTGTGAATATTGGAAACTGCAGCTCTATGAAATTGTACGATTATTATGTAGCATTGTCCGTATTGAATGTATTGTAGGTACTACATCGTATCAAAATATCGCGTAGACAACGAGCTATAGTTTTTTAATTTAAATTTCTTAAAATTAAAGAAAATACTGAAAAAAGATTATATTCTTTGATTAATTTTATATGAATCTTATTCTGATTATATGGAAGATTAAAAAGGTTAAAAATCGTCAAAATAGAAAATTACTTACAGAATTCTGAGGCGTTCTGTGTGTTCTTTATCGAGTAGAATAAAGGTAGTATTAAAATAAAATAAAGTGACATAAAATTTAGCCGCATGCTTTTTGGATAAAAGAAGCGTAAGGAGCTATCCCGATCGTAATCGTGCAATCGAAATCGATTTCCCGCTTGCTTACGAAGTATCGAGAAACTATCGGAATCCTCTTCAGATGTCATCCGAATTTCCATGATAAACTGACGAAAGACGGGATTATTTCGGTCGGAAATCTTTTCGGATAATTTTATGATAGCTTTCCAAATAACCCAAAAAAGAAAAGACTTCTATCGATACTCGGAAATAAATTCAGCACGTCGATATTTTTCAGCATGAAATTTTAACGTAAACCGTACGACGTGCCGCATCTTTTACCTTTCGCGAGTGATGCGCGAGTAATGAATAAAGTTAGGGGAAAGCGCGTCGTTTTCCTGAGAGATTTCTAGAAAGAAACTTTCGGTCGGCGTAAGGATATCATCCTGTAGTTCTTTCATATCGGGAAACACGTGAATCGGATACATTGACTAGTTTCTTCGTAAATACGCTCTCCGCGGGAGAGGCCTCGTAAAATCTGGTAAGGATATTGGTTGTCCCGAATATATCGGGAGGAATATACACCCATATGACGCGATATCGGAGGTGATATCACTTTTACAGCGACAGTATGGCGGGGATGTCGCGCGCATGAGTCACGAAATATAAATGTCGGGGAAACAAAGGCGCCAATTTGCCGTGAAATCCTCCGAGGGGCCGAGATTTCGTTCTTCCGCGCGTTAAGGCGGAAACAAGAATTTCTCTACCTCCGATCTCTATCTCCAAAAGTCCTTTCGTGAAATGGTGAATTCGAGAGATTTAACCTTTCTCCTCCTTTGGATAATTTCAATATCGCGAGTGTGTGGAATTGCAAATTCCACCCAAGATAGTCCGTAGATAGTCGAAAATTTCCCTTTGAAATCTCGCACCTAAGGTACTATCGAATGTATAATTCTCTTGATATGTATATATGTATTAAGAGTCTCATACGATATACATATAATCACGCACAATATATACTTTATTGCATGCATCAATGAATATCCATGTTATACTAATAAATACTCGAAATTGATTTTGTAACACAGAATTAAACTTCGGTTTATAATACTTTACTTGGAAAATCCAAACTAATATGAAAATTTTATTATGATTCAATTAACAACATTATAATTATCATTGGAAGTTTGAGGCGTGAAAAAGGATACTCCTTCTCACTTTTTGCGAATGAAAATCGTTGCCAAAATTTAATATAAAATACTATCTTATAATTTTCTAGGATATTCGGTAGACACGTGCTGTGCGTAAGATACGTAAAGTGATATATCCGCGTGTCAAACGCGTTAATAACGTAAAAACGTGTTATAGAGGAAAAGGTTCGGATTATATATGTCACGCAATATTGTATAGCTTTTTTCTAGACGGAAAGATGCTTTTTTTCAAGGCAAGCCTTTTCGCTCACCCAACGTTTCTTAAAATCTTCCATCCAATCACTTTGCGCGAAGTATCTTATATACGCCGTGTCTCTCATGTCGATGACATCTCGTCATGTTTGCAATTCGTAGACTGAAACGTCGTTGCTGTACGATGCCGTCCATCTCTTCGCCAAGGCATTACACGATCTCGACACGTCCCAACAGATCGATATCAAGCCGTTATCCTGCGAATCAACGGACACCTGGCCTCACGGATACTCGCTCATCAACTACATGAAGATCGTGAGTAATTGACTAGAACTATTAATATATTACGTGTATTTTCAAGTATGAAACATATATGCTCTTTGTGTCAAAGTCTTATACTCTTTTTTGAACTATTCTAATAAACATAAATTAATTAAGTTCTAATATGTATGTATATAAGTAAAATAGTAAATAATGCATTAATAATCTCGGTATAAATTCTTTTATTTCTCTCACATTTCTTTATTTAGTTTTTAACTTCTATACGCGGCGATTCTCTCAATTTTAGATACACAATCCATCGATATAAAGCTTATATTTTCACAGCGGTTTTATCTATATGAACAACGTAATTCTTACATTTCTAACATTGAATGCATAATCTTTATATTAGATAAATTAAATATCAAATTAGCTTTTATATATATAGCGTTTAGCGCTAGCGCTAAATACAATACTAAATATTCCACGCGTAACTGTCATGAATATGGATTGTTAGGCTTAGGCGAATTTAATTGAAACTATAATTAAGCAAACAAATAAATTTACGTTAGGGACAATGAATGTGTGTGTGACGGAATCGGATCTCCGCAATCCTTTCAAGCGTAAAATATTTCGCCGCGATCCCCGTAAAACACGGGTTGACGAGGCGCAATATAATAGCAAAGGCGATATGTTTATCGACAGCCACCTTTCTGCATGATTAGTGCACGCTCGTATTCAACGATGCAACGATGCAAGGCAGAAAGCGGGTTATCGCGAATATATCACGCTAGGGAGAAATTAATCTCGCGCACCACCAATCGATCGCACCGACAACGTAATAAGCCATTATAACGATACGCTTAATCCAACCAACTCGCTCGCTCGCCTTTCACATAATCCACGTACCGCTCATTAACAAGCAGCACACGAGTCTTGCCATGTGCATTACGCACAATGCATGATAAGCCATCATCCGTTATCCCGTAATGCGTAAAAGGTATAAAATAAAATTTTTAATTTTCCTTCCTCGGAATATCTCAATCAGAGCTAAATCACACACACGCATATATTGACACTACCATCTTCTAACATTTCTATAGATTTTTAAAGACTTATTTAACGTTCGCATGTATATATTAAAAATTACGTCACAGATGGATTGATCTTCGTACCTTCAAAGTCCATATTTATTATTTATGATCATGTAGCATGAAAATTAATCATACTTTTGATATCGCAAGTCAACATCAGATATGACTTTGATACAGAGTTTGTGTATACTAAAAAGTAATGAAGGCGCCAAGACTTTTGCATATTTAATGTAATGCGGATATATGTAAATGTAAATCCCGCGCGTTTTCCGGTTGACTTTGAATGCAACCCGCAAAAGATTATCTTCGCGTTATTCTTCGCGAGTAGAGGAAAAAATTTGATAAATACGTGACACACGCGTGGTCACGTGGAAGGAAATCATGCGGAGCACGGACGCATTGACTTGCCGCGATCCGCGCGATTGTTCCCGTGGGACAATGGAAAGTTACTCCAGTTTAAACGAAGCTGTCACGCGTGCTGACAAATTGTTGTTCGCGGTTTCGCCGCGGAGCATCCTGACGCGAAGGACTGCATAGGCCGTATGTATGCTGTGCATCGCATAGCTTGTGCATAGATTTACAAGCACGCGATATTCAAGCCATGTACGACGAAGTTTCTAATCGATACGACTGGTTTCGTAACTCTTTCTTTAAATTTACTTTCTAAAAAAAACCTACTTGAAGATAATAAAGATTCAGATTTTTATGCTAAATGGAGCGTTTTCGAATATATGAACATTTAAAGGCTCAGACTGTGTTAATAAATTAATTATATTAAGACTTAAGACAGTAAAAAGGATAAAACCACATCATTGACGCGTTGAAACATTGTATTTATAATAAAACCCTATATTCTATTTTTTATATAATTTTTTGTGAACACTACGAGCTTCTCTCTCCGATCAGACAATAATGTGTGCTTTTCATTTAGCGACTCAAGTCGACACAAGCGTTAATTCTGTCTCTTTTCAACATCTAGTGAGCAACAAAGACAGAACGACGCCTGCGCCGACCCAAGTCGCCAAATAAAAAGCACACAATGTATTTTTTAAAGAAATTTAGTTTATCAAATTTTTTTTTAAATAGATAAATTAGTATACACGAGATAATCTATGTGCGTGTGGTAGACGTTGAAGAATTATTCATATATTGATTGCATCTCGCATGATCCCGACGTAATCTATTTATTCGCAGCAAATGCTGTCACGGCGTACACTGCAGCTGCTTAACAGCGAAATCGAACGGCACGGCACAGGATATGGTAACGCACCAGCGTCAGTAGATACGAGTTACCGTAAATATAAATATGCATTGCACGCAGGATATGGAAACGTGCCTCGTCATACACGTCGCCGTGTTGAAATTGACAAGTACTGGAAGATATGTTCTGACGCCGAGGCGGCTCTCGCGTGCACTCGTGACTGCGTATATGTCACGAACGAACGAAACCTGTCGCTCACGCGGCCGAATGTCCCGATCGGGATAAGCAAAAACTGTCGATAGAAGCAGACGTGTAATTTCGGCGGACTTGTTACGCAACTACCCAATTACGCGATACACGCGTCCGTGTGTGCCGGCTTACAAGTTACGTGATATGTCTAATCTTTATAAAAACTCAGAATACCTCTTATCAATCATGAAAAAAATAACATTTTTAAAAATATTTTTCAATCTAATGTTTATATTTTATCTAAAATCATATTTTGAAAGATATGATTCATAATACTCTTTTATACATTTAAAATTATGAATTTTCAACATTATTTCATACTGTGACGATAATGAAGAGAAGTATATAACGAGGAAATACTAACTAAATATTTTTCGACAACGAAAATGTTTTAAAATGCTATGATCATATCAGAATTCACTCGTTAGTTTTCTAGATTTTGTGATGAATAATGCACATTATGTCACTGATAATTTTTTTCCGGTAGACATATGATGATATATCAAAGTTATGTGTATCTATTTGTGATATTGATATGGCGTTCGTCTAATGACGCTACATCGATCAATTAAAATTGGTTCAGTCCTTCCAAGGATCACGTCATAAGTCGTCGGTAATGATAGCACCTAAATTAATCTCGGGGTGTCAGAACAGAATTTAATTTCGCGATATTCATGAAACGGTAATTACAAGCAGTCGCCCAGAATTTCGTCCGCAATTACACCGCATCGTTTTCGGAATGTACAATATGTGCGCAAGGGAAAGACGATCCAGAGAGTTCGGTTATCATGCGGTACGTAATTACTCGCGAATCGCTTTACGAACAATTTATTATGATAGAATTTCCGCCTCGAAATATAGTCGCGTATTAACGCATCTTCAGTGTTTCCCAAGTAATTGCGAAGTGTAACACCCGGCATACTGCCGCCAGATGCCCGTTTCGTATCGGATTTACGAGCGGTAAATGTTTAGACATATCCTTTATTCGCGTAATATACGTAATAAATGCACCGTGAATCTACTCGTATCCAAATTCGGCTGTGTGTACATACATCTATCTTCGTTCTCAAATTTCTTACGGTCAAGTCATTGAATATGTTAATAATTAAGTGCAAATTTATATATATGAATAAACAAAATTTACATAAAATTAAATTGTTAATCAAATTTTTGCCAGCAACAAAACATCAAAGGTATGAAATCAGAAATTTAAATTTAGCAAAACTTTTGACACAATTTTTAAGACTCGCTAATCTCCGTACATCACGCACGCACAACGTTGCATATTAAATTCTTATTGGCTGTATACTTTGATTTATTCACGCATAAACTGTCATGTCAGATATTTCAATATTTTAATATGCATAAATATAATCAAGAATATCAACGATATGTTTTCATATCCTATTTATAAACAAGCATATAATATCAACAATCTCTCGTGATTACGTAAATTAAATTCTATTTAATTATAACCTAATAACAATTGATAACTAAATATTGATATTTAGGAATATAGCATATGTACAATTTTAACTAATAAATATATTCGACGGGTATTTCAGGTAGAGATGACGGGGCTCACGGGTATTATCAAGTTCGATCATCAGGGATTTCGCTCCGACTTCGTTCTAGACATCATCGAGCTGAATAACAAAGAAGGCTTGAAGAAAATCGGTACTTGGAACAGTACCAAAGGTATCAACTTCACGAGGAGCTACGGCGACGTTTACACTCAAATTGTTGAAAACTTACAGAATAAGACTTTCATCGTGACGACTATATTGGTGAGTAACCGTGTTTCCAAAGAATGCGCGCGCGGCTTTCCTCCCTCAAACATCAGAATAATATATTGAATAAAACTTTCTTCGAATACTTAAGTTTTGCTTCTTTGAATCTCATAAATAATTGAATACTATTTAATTTGAATGAAATAAGATAATGTATAATATTATATTTTCCTATTTCTTTAACTGATTTGATTGTATTATAGGAATTGCATTCTTTGTTGGTTTTTTGTTATAGAAAAATAATAAATATCAATTAATTAAGTAGTTTAATTTATTAAAATACTACAATATACGTGTCTTTAAATTGCACTAAATCTCTCTTATCTTATTAGCGTTTAAAACAAGTTGTACTAACGAAGTAGAAATTTAAGGTAATTATGTTACAAAATGCGTATGAAACTCTAGGAAAAGAAAAAAATTATTTAATTTACGATATAAATTTTCAAAACATGCGAAGTTTCCATTAGAATAAAGAAATATACTAAATCATTATTTATTTCGTTCGAAGATATGTCTGCAAAAATCGTGACAATCGCGCAGCGGGCTCGGAAATCGTTGCTTTAATCGAGGCGCGAACAAAACAGGAACGTCGCCGTATTTAAGCAGCGCAGGCACAGCGGGATGGAAAAATTTTTTCCATCCATTAGCGAAGCTTGCGCACTCGTTAACTTCCCGCTTCCCCTTTTTACTCGGCGAGGAAAGAAGATAAGAGGGACGCGGAAACCAGATATGCGCGCGACTTAATTGAAGTTTTCGCGACGCGCTCGATTCACATTACTTATTCTCAACGCTAATTGCGGCGACAAATAATGTACTGGATAATGTATTAAGTACTTCGAAACTCGCTCAAGAAAGGGACGGCAGCAAGTTTCCCGCGCGGTAAGAAGCAGGATACGTTGCGTGAGAATCGTTCTCGTAAAAACGTCGATGCCTTAACGTTTCTTCGGTATATACGTTCGGATCCGCAGCTAAACGGATCTGTCACTGATAAGAACATGCAACGTGTCCTAGGTGTACATTGCAGAATGCTACGAAACTTATATATCAAATGTTATATAAAAGATCATTCTCTGAATTTCATTTTTAAAATCAGTAATATTTAGAAAGTTCCATTTTCCAATAAAGGCATGAAAATATATTAATTGACGTGTTTCTGTTGCCAGGAATAAATACAACAAATACTATTTTAACATGTATTTATGGCGAAATCTTAATTAAAAATTATTTAAATATCTAAATTTATTTTAAGCTCTATCTCTCGATGGATCTGGAAATTCATAAAAAATTATCAGTAGTTCTTTTCTTATAATTTTTCGATTAAGTATTTTGCCATCTATACTTAAAACAAAATCAGATTTACTTGATATCTAAGATAACGTTATTCGCAAAATAAACCCTGATATTGTTTTAAAGCTGTGTTGAAAGAAATGTTGAACACACACACATTGCCTTGCATTAAATCCTTCTAATCCAACTTCAATCTCGATACTGATATGAGGCGCTTCGCCAAGATTATTTCATGCAGATTATAACTTCACTGGCGATCTCGTCGGGAGCTACCTCCCGATTGCTCCGATGTACCCGATAAACTCGTAGCGCTCCTTTAAATGCCTATACGCCGCACCAGTATTGACAGCAGCTCATTACCTGATCGCAGAGCGCGCCGTACTGTATGCGGAAGGACTCGAGCGAGAAGCTCACCGGAAATGCGCAATTCGAAGGCTACAGCATCGACTTGATTTACGAGATATCGCGGCTGCTTGGATTCAATTATACGTTCCGGCTTGTGCCGGACGGACGTTACGGCTCGTACAACGCGCAGACGAAGGAATGGGACGGGATGATGAAGGAGCTGCTCGAGCAAAAGGCCGATCTCGCGATCGGTGATCTCACCATCACGTACGATCGGGAACAGGTTGTGGACTTCACGACGCCGTTCATGCCTTTAGGTGAGAGCCAACAACATTACGAAGTCGGGTGCAGCAAACACCGGCCGCGATTTTACGATTTTCATAAACACGTTATGAAAAGAGTTGTAAAAAAATATATACCTTTACGCGATTAGCTTGAAATAACGTTATGACATTTTTTTAACAATGTTATTGCATTGCATGCTTTCACAAGCCTTGGGCAATAGCGGGGAAAAGATAAGCACGCACGGGAATTTTAGGCAAACACATTATTGGTATCAAAGAAATGACTGCTTTTACCGAAAAAATATTATTTAATTACATTCTGTACAAAACGGCCAAAGCAGATATTTAAAAATCGTATTTCTGAAAAAATAATGGTACGTGTACAATAGTGTCATAAATGCAAAATTATTCTCAAGTTAAAATAACGGGATAAAATTTAAAATATCACACACATGGCGAGCAATCTTTGTCCTGCATATCTCACTATCTCCGAAATAATTTCTCCGAGCGCAATTTTGTGGGGCCATTATGTATCTTCGTAAGCCATAGATGGTCGTAACGAAAACCGGAGTAAATCTCACGGGTGATTATATTCGGTCCACTGTATCCACACATCAATGCTACCTCTACCTACTTGCGGTCTCCGCCGTGGCTGAGCATAAAATGAGAAATTTTGAATTTCCAGGGATCAGCATACTTTACCGCAAACCCATAAAGCAACCGCCGAATTTGTTCTCGTTCCTCAGCCCTCTTAGCCTCGACGTTTGGATCTACATGGCAACGGCTTATCTCGGGGTCTCCGTGCTCCTCTTTATACTAGCCAGGCAAGTGAAACCATTTTAAATTCCTTCGCGACAAAATGTCGTGACTGCACTGTTCTGGAAATTTGATCCCCTATCTAATCGATGCGATCGCGTCGTCTCCTGTAACATGATGCATCGATGAATTAAGTACGAAGGAAACGTGAGCCTATCTTGCTTCGATGATTCTTGCACGTCTTTGTTTCAGAAAAATGAATGATTAAAATTTTGATTTATATCGACATCCGTGTTGTTTCCTGACTTATTTCCACGACGAGAATATCCAATTAGAAATTTCATTTTTTTGCTTTGATTTCCATCGGTTTAATATAATTCTGTTGTTTCGCATATTGCGTTAGATATTTCGTGAAGATTATTTACAAGCTTGACAGAAATTTGTTTGAATAATTGTAACGTATATATCAAGATGAACTCGTTATAAGATAATGCAAAAATTTTCAAGGTAATTTTTTTATAACAAAAACCGCGTTTGATGCCATTGGATCAGAACGTGTTTGGAATCGTTAAGTTTAGATTCACGCCATACGAATGGTACAACCCGCATCCGTGCAACAAAAATCCGGATCGTCTGGAGAATCGCTTCAAGCTACTTAACTGTTTGTGGTTCACCATTGGCTCCCTAATGCGGCAGGGTTGTGATATTCTGCCAAAGTAAGCCCTTTAACGCATCAAGATAATGATCTTCATGCGCAAAATACGTGCTTATCGCATTCGTTGCATGTCACACTGCTAATTATACCTTAGCGAAACTATAAATCATCATTATTGCCTTCCTCGTGCATAGATCGTAGGAGCGATCGATAGGAAAAAGCATAAGCGGATAAATTATCTCATCAAGATGCCCAAATTAAGCAATTTATATATTTGTATTAAAAAGTACGAGAACAAAATGGAATGTTATACTGAGCTGTACCACGTTATTCCTAAATCGCGCGTGCGATAAGAAAAAAGAAACAGCATTAAGTTTTTATGACCTTATATAATTAATTAAGAATATTAATTAAGCAAGTTTTAGGCGATATTATTAAAACTAAAAGAATAAACAATCGTTATAATAAAATAAATTCTTCTTACGCCGAGACAATGAGATTTATATTAGAATAATTCTTCTTCGTTGTATTTTTATCATTTTGAATAAATAGTGCATATATATATATATATATATATATATATATTTGTATGTATATATAATCTCTTATGTATTCGTATGTATATATAACTCATTACTCATTATATGTTTCTTGTAGTATTCGCGTATATTGCTTTCATGGTGAGACATCATTGTATCGCATCAGCAAGACATCTCAATTGGTTCACTGATCGCACGAAACATATAATGTAATTCCATAAATTTGTATCATCAATTTCAGAGAGTGACGACACACACACACACACACACACACAGACAGACAGACAATCCGCGGATAGGTGCACGCTTTGATCATCTAATCTCGGTCCTTCCCCTTTCACCTGTCCGCAGGTTCAGCCCCTACGAGTGGGAGAACCCCCATCCGTGCAACGGGCAGTCCGAGGTCCTTGAGAACGAGTTCACCCTACTGAACTCGCTCTGGTTCACCATAGGCTCGCTCATGCAGCAAGGCTCCGATATAGCGCCGAAGTAAGTGACTGAAGAAGCACGCAGTATACATAAACGTGGTGTACGACAATGTAGAATCTATGTCGCTGTCGGCCACCAGTGTGTAAAACTAATTTAATCGTGTGAGGGAAGCGCGAACGTACGGCGCGTTATCGCGTTTTATGATTATGCAAATGATGTAAGAACCGATAAACTGGCTGTGCTATATCGTAGACTTGCTGCAACTGATTGTACATCCAAGTATGCCGGGAAACGTGAGAATTACGTGGCAGGAATGTATTCCTTAACGGCGTTTGGTGTTGGGACTCTTCCCTTGATGAAAATTTAATCGATGGCTTAATTAGGAATCCACTTAATTAAAGGATTACGGCGAATGAAGCTGCAGCAGGATGTAACAAAACTTTATTTTCTAGTTAATTCGAAGCAGGCTCTTTCTCTTAATAGGAAATTAACTTTATACTGAATTAGGAGGGCGTTTAGTACTCGAAATTAAAAGGTTTCGAGTAAAACGCGCTCTAACAAAGATATGATGCGCTAAGATTAAAGAATTACACATCCTCGCAACGCACGCGCGATTTCCGGTATGCCGTGTACAAATGCGGCAAAATTAATCACAACGCTTTGCTTGTACCTAGTTATCGAAATGCATGATATTGCGTGGCATGCGCCTGGAAGCTTGGAATGCCCGTTACACAAGTAGTTTCCAATAATTCCGCGTGCTCGTTATACACGACATAATTGCGTTTATGTATACTCTCGCTACTCAGTTTTCGCATGTAAAATAATTCGCCCGCACATGTTTCGCGCATATACGTCCGTTCCGCTCGCCAACTCCCCGCATTTGCCGTTTAATAGCGAACGCGAATCGCTTAACTGCGGAACGGCGCGCGGCGCGGGGGCTGTACACCCCCCGCGACGTATACTTACAGCTGGCTCGTTACATAAAGCGAAGTTGAACTTCTGTACGCTCCATTACCCCTCGCGTGGAAGGCGCCGGGCGAAGTTATCCCTCGGAAAACTTCCGGCGCGCGAACGGCAGGTGCCATTGATTCCTTTTTCTGTGCGATTCGTATTTTCGACACGTTCCGCTTTATCGCGCATGGATCTACAAACGAGAGGCGGTTTACGCGGACTATACTTTACGGCGGGGCAAACTCGCATGCTTGATTTTCCGTTTAGAGCCTCGTTGCGGTGGAAAACAGTGTGCAGCCTTTGATCTCTTTACCGTAGGGCCGTGTCGACTCGCATGGTCGCCGGTATGTGGTGGTTCTTCACGCTGATCATGATCTCCTCTTATACGGCTAATCTCGCGGCTTTTCTCACCGTCGAGAGGATGGATTCCCCGATCGAGAGCGCCGAGGATCTCGCTAAGCAGACGAAGATCAAATACGGTGCTCTCAAAGGCGGCAGCACGGCGAGCTTCTTCAAGGTGAGATTAATGCACTTTACATTGTGCACTGTTATCAAAAATAGAGTGACATTGAAGCGTTTCCTATATTGAGATTTATAACGTTTGTCGCGAAAATACGCGTACATATACATCAGTTACGCGATGTACCAAAAAAAATCGAATGCCGTCCAATAAAATAATGAAACTACGTAAACCAGAAACTGCGCAATAAGGCTAAATGAGATAGTACATTGTTATCTGAAATCCCGCAAGTAATTGAGTCAGATCCGCTTCTGACGGGCTAAGAATCTCCAATCAGAGCAACAGCGGAACCGCAGGATGCGACCCCGGGAATATTCTCTCTATTAATTCGAGATCGCCGATGCGTGCAATTAGTGATGTAAACGTGCGCGGATGCGATATTCTCTCCTTCGGAAGTAAGGCATGCCTACTTCGAGGTTAACCGATTTCCACTCCGACGTTCCACCGTTTAACGGCACGCGTACTCAACCACGAAATTCCCGGCATGATCTAGGATTCCAATTTCTCGACGTACCAACGCATGTGGTCCTTCATGGACTCGGCGAAGCCGTCGGTATTTACGGGGAGCAACGTCGAGGGCGTGGATCGAGTGATCAAGGGGAAAGGCAGTTACGCATTCCTGATGGAATCCACCTCCATCGAATACGTAATTGAGAGGAACTGCGACCTCACTCAAGTCGGCGGTCTCTTGGACTCCAAGGGATACGGCATCGCCATGCCGCCAAGTAAGTGTTAATAGAAATGCTTTATACATGTGCATTACGCGCGCGAGGAATTGCGATAAAAAATTCATGCGACTCGCGTATAGACGCGTGTTCTCAAACGAGAATCGTAAAAAGGCCCGATGATTGAAAACGTGAAGGAAAAGCGAGAAGTGCAAGGTAGAGTCCGGAGAGTCAACATAAATTTCTTGAAATACTTTTTGTACGGCTACTAATAAATCATAATTTGTAATTCACGTCGCTCGTGTTGAAAATAATACGAAACAAAAAAGAAAGCGGTTTTTCATTAAATATTTTATCTTCATTATTTGAATATTTTAAATCACTACGGATAACGCTTCAATTGCGACAAAGTAATTTAATATATCGTCGATTCGTGTTGGTCGGACACAAACCGGATGTGTAATATGTCCCTCAATAGTTGTGGATTTCAATGCTATATTCAATACACAAAGCGCGCTTAATTGAATTTTTTTTGCCGCATCTCGGCAATCCGCGCGCATTACTCGGTAGACATGTGATTCAAAATTTGGGATAATAAATGGTTCCATGGCTGAAGTATTTATCAGCAGGTTTCGACAGTTGTGGTCAATAGCAGAGAACATTAAAATCTATAATTATTAAAGGATCATTACGTTCGTCACATTCAATCTGATACAAACGAACGATGTATTAATATGCACTCGCTATTTAAAATATGAAATATCAGCTTTTCCGATGTTCATGATGTGAATATTATTATTTATCCCATTTTTATCTATGGCTTTTAGTTTACGCTGTATTCATTTCTCTTTTTCTCGCTCTTTTGAGGGTATTATTGCGGAAGCTTATAAAATTAACGCGCAACTTTAATAATTTAGCAAAAAGAGAAGATAATTTGGTTTATCAACTTCCAACAGTACGACATCTTAATAACTCCCATTAATGGAAGTAGCGAACGCGGTACATTTGGAAGGGAAAAAGAAATGTACCTAATCAATATTGCAGTATAAAGTACTTATATCGGCCTATCGACTCGACTGAATAAAAGAAATTCCCATTCAATTAAAACTTTTCCTTCACGCAAATGAAATTCTGGTAGAAAGAAAATGCAAATCGTTCCCTCGTCGAATCGAGAGATTCGCGCGCGCGCGCGCGCGCGAGCGAGCGAGCGAGCGAGCCGGTCGGTTTATCCCGAGAGATCGAATAAAATCGCATTGCCGGTCGCCCTGCTGATCTCGCGGCTGCGCGAAAATACCGGTCGATAGTCGAGTGTCGCCATGAAGGGAAACGATTGCGCGCGGGATTGCCGGCGAAACGTTGGCGCGAGGGAACGATTGCCGCAACGGCACTTCCGGAAAGTTTCGCGCGGAAGTACGGCGCTACGAGGCGATAAAAGCAGCCTAGGAGGAGTTCCTCAAAACGACCTTGGAACTTCAGACTCGCCGTACAGAACGGCCATAAGCGGGGCCATCCTGAAGCTCCAGGAGGAAGGGAAGCTACACATGCTGAAAACGCGCTGGTGGAAGGAGAAGCGAGGCGGCGGATCCTGCAGGGTGAGCTAATGTGTATCTTAAGGCGAATTTACACGGTTTACTTGTAATCTCAGGATCCGCGAGTCTGTGGTTATCTAGCGATAAACTTTTGGAGAACTTGTAATATGACAATAACGATATATAATATAACTACGAAAAGTTTTAACTCGTATATCACAGAAAGATTAACTTGAAGAAAATCTGGAAGGAAAAAGGTTTGATAAAAAAATAAAATAGATACCCTTATAATAAGAAATAAGGAAATGAATAGTCTTAACTTAATAATGTTGTCGCGAAAATTATTCAAATAGATACAGCATATTTGTTAAAATTGCACAAAAATAATTTTAACTGCAATAATTGCCTTTTATTTTTGGTGGTAAATCGATGAACAAAAGTTTATTGACCATCATACTTTTGCGTGGAATTTCTGTCTGTCCTAATTAATTGTTTCTTATCGTGATTTTTTTATCCGCTATACCCGTCTTATCCAGTATCACTTTTAGAAGAAAACCGCGTGAATTCGCTTTTAATCCACCGTCATTTCCCTTTTCTCATGAAGGATATTCGGGCGCGCTATATAGCGCACTCAAGAAGTGCGCGTTCGAAATTCTTGCGCCAGACTCCAGCAAACTCCCCTCATCCGTCAGGGATGAGAGGGCTGGAGGCTGAGGCGGCACGCGGGGAAGACTATTTCGCGAATTCGCGAAATCGAGGTTTCGCCGAGCTCGCGATCATCGTTACGCGCACTGCTATTTCTCGCGCAGCTTCGCCGATAAATTCTTCCGATAATTCACCGAGGGGGGGGCTTCTCCTCCCTCGAGCAAACTTGCCGCTGTTTGACGGACGAACGTAGATGGATTGATTATAGCGACACAGGAGGAATTAACTCCTCGATGTCATTCTCCATTCGCAATTATCGTAAAATATTAAAAGTCCAGTGGTGTTTAACACTATGCTACAATTATTAATTTTATTCTAAAAGTAAAAGATAACGTCAATACCAAAGAAAGCATTATTGTTGTTAAATTTCAATTTTGTGTCTGAATAAGAAATCAAGATGAGAAACGCTTTATACCTTTTCTATTCCTTATTCTCTTTGAGTAAATAAATTTTATAATTAAAAGGTATTTTCTGTATTACAATTTGAAATAAATGTATTATTAATCATCAGATATAAAGATATACATAGACACAAAAACACTATTAAACACGATAATTTTAACTGGTTTAGAGAATATTAAGGTATCGATTAAAAGATTGAACGCCAATTAGAAGATTTAATAGGCAACGCGCTACTCCCATTCCTCTCAACACTTTAATCCATCAGCCTAAGAGTAGGCGCGATCAAATTTTCGCAGTACTATCCACACGACGCTATACGCGCAACCCACGTACGAACCGCTTCAATAATGAACACCCGAGCGCGAAAGCCGCGCGTGCATTACGCGAAAACCACCGTTTCCCCAGCGGCGCATTACCGATGCAGCGGGCCCATATTCTACCTGTAACCGCCCGCGTTAATGCGCCACAAGAGCTAATCGATGTTTCTCTCTCGTCGGGCTATAGGACGACACCTCGAAGAGCAGCTCGGCGGCGAACGAGCTCGGCCTGGCGAACGTCGGCGGTGTCTTCGTGGTGCTGATGGGCGGCATGGGGGTCGCATGCGTGATCGCGGTCTGCGAGTTCGTGTGGAAGAGCCGGAAAGTGGCCATCGAGGAGCGGGTGAGTGACGCGAAATAGCACGTGGAGGATGGTAGTCGCGCGATGGTAGCCACGCCGGAAATCACCGCGTCAGGATCCGCCGCGGCCGCCACGCGGCTCGACCCCGACGCGATCTATCCCGACATTCACATACCGCGCGAATACATCAGTTGATGCTCGCACGACGGTGGAGTTCCTCTCTAATGGTCTTGATACAGAACCACTCGGGTCTGATCGCTCACACGGCTCGGGACTCGGGACTATCTCGGCGAAGATGACGCATAGTTTCCCCTCATTTTTCTACCTCTGTCGTAATCGCCTGATCGCCATGCGTCGTCGTTCCCTCGATTGTCTCGCTGCGCGCGAATATCGTCGTTAGTCGGACAGGCAAGACATTCGTCCGTCTTCGCTGGCCACTGAGAGAACGTGTCGCTTCAAGCTTTTATGTGTTGAAGAAATGCCCAGAGTATTCGACTTGTGAGAAATCCAAACAGTATTCAAGCCCGGGTTTTTGATGCGCGAGAAACGGAAAAAGCGAGAGAAGGATCGCTAGAATTTAATTACTAAACGTTTGAAAGGGGATTAGTTTTTTCATAATTGCCGCGTTCCTTCCCAAAGATTCATTTCCATAAATTCTGGATTTTAAACGACTCAATCTCAATTTTATATTTTTAAATACATTTCTCTCCTTTTATTTTAATGTTAAAGGGTCACATCCCTGGGTTGTTCTAATCCCAATCTAGATTGCCGCTTGCACAAATAGAAAGTCACGTTCATCGGCAATATATGAGAGCGTCGTGATTACCGGAGAGAGACGTAAAAACCATAAAAACACAGGCAAAGAAAAACTTGATGAAAAAATTTCAAGCGAAATTTCGCGCTGTGGTCGAGCGCGGAAAATGGAATTAACATATGCAAAGTCCCGCGCTGCGCAATTCACGATGACCGCGGTACCGCGCGGTGTACACGGTATTCGCGCTACCGTTTACATATATATCCAAAGGGGTAAACAAACAGGCAACTATTTGAAGAGGGCTCGCCCAGGGATACGAATATGCTTTGCGCGGATCATTCCCCGCGTACACGCAAAAGCAAACAGCTCCTATATGAGCTGACGGACGTCGGTGGTATTACTGTACCGCCTCCTTTCAAACCGCATTGCACTCCTGCAGAGAAGCACCGTGGGCGAGGCTCTCTCCAAAAATTCAAATCAGCTTAAATCGATCGTGGGACGAGATTCACGTCCTACACGATGAATAGTATACGGGCTTTCGAACGAATCGGATGGCGAATACTTGAACTTTTATGATATGTAAAGCTTGGTCGAGTCGCATTCCTCGTTATCGTTATGACTGCCACGATATTGAATACGATGGACACAATATATCGCATCAATAATAAAAGAAAACATTATAAATAAAGAATTAAAATAAATATACTAATTATATTTTTGGATTATGTAGATACGAGATTAGATCTTATTTTTCGTCGTAGAATAATGATTAATCGCGATGCTTCGGGTAAAAAATTACGACAACTGTGATAATAGATATTTCCTAATATGTTTACATTATCAAAGAAGCAATGAGAAAGCATGATAGAGCTGCAAGTTATTTTTGTTTGCTTTTTTATATAAGCATATCGATAATTAGCGCACCTCTTTTCCCGCTTTTGATTACTGCAACAGTTTACAGTGACTATTATAACGAATCTGACTCGGGCATTTTGGTGTTCTGTTCTAGAAGCAGAAATCCTCGGGGAAACCGATCTGCGAAGGTTTTACTGATCTGCACTAGCGACGGTACGCGCTGCGCTGCGAATAAACAGATTCTTAAACTCAAGCCGTACCTCAAAAGCGTATCCGATCCGAGTTCAGTGGACCTAAGGAAGAACTCCATCACACGGGAGATCGGAAAAAACTGTATAAAGATCGTAAAATTATAGGGACAAACGAAAATAATCGGACAAGAAAAAAGCAACGAGCCTTGACCTTTCCAATTTTCCTTCCAAAATTCTATCAAGTATATCATTCAATTTAACGAAACAATTTGGGAAATACAGAAATATTTCTCCTCAAGTTACGGTGCTCACAAAAGTATAACTTATTCAATATTTTGAATAAATTTCTATTCATGCGAACAAACTATTAAAATTCGATTAATAACAGTACCAATTTTTCAATAGAAAAATTAGAGAAACGTATACGATTATCGCAACATATGTAATAAATAACCAAAGTGAAAAGAATACGTAAAAGAAAGATTGGAAAAGTCAACGTGTGTTTGCCATTTGCTCATATCAAAACTTAGATTAATGAACGAAGACTTTAAACCTCGCAATAGGAAAGGCCAAGTCCTTCCTCGCGAAGTCGCAAACGTTTCGATCGACATCAAAATACTTAAAAAAAAAAAAAAGAACCTAGAACCGCGGTGTTCACAACTTATAGTGCTGCGGATGAACTTTTAAGAACAATCACGATTTTATACCGGCTAGATAGTGAATGTATAGTATACCAGATTAACAAAACATTTTACTGTACATAATATGTAACTGTCGAGCTAACCAATATGCGATCGTAAGTGTGCGCGGAAGTCCGTTCGCTTCTTGAATTGATAATGTTGTCATAAGTGATAATCCGAAAGAGCAAGTGGATATAAAGGAAAAACCGCGTTCTCGCTAAAATTGGAGTACTCAGCAATTTGTAACTTTCAATAGTACAATGATACTTAAAAACATATGGATAAATATGTTGTCTCGATTAATTTCATATTTTTCTTTTTATATTGGTACTATTCTATATGTATGTATAAAGTTTCATTCTTCGCTTAATTAGAAGGGATTTCTTTATATACATGTATATATTATAAATTCCTTCAAATTAAGTGAAGGATAAGATTTTCTCCAAGTTCAAGAAAGTCATTCTTGAAACTCGATCTGCTGAGACTCTTTCGTAAATAACAATTTAATTTCAATTCTCGTTAAGAACAAGAATTTCGCATTAAAGGGTGCATAATAATTATTAATTTCCTTCTTTTTACTTTATATATTGCAAAATCTAAACCATAATATATAGATTTCAATAAGAAATTAACCAACGCACAGAACAAGTACAACATTACGATGTGTTAGAAAATAATCACCTTTATCCACGTGCAGCTTTTGACGCAATGTAAAGTATTTCCGATCCATGTGAAGGAGCACGCGGACTTCCGAAATTTCGTTATTGAATAGACAAATCTCTGTGTCGTGGCGAAGTAACTTGTACGGAAATTGCGATTTCGAAAAATGTTGCATTATTTATAACTGTAAATGAAATTGAAAGGACACGCGTTGTGTGACAGTTTAGTATGACATTGTTAGTCGTGTCGCAATGTTTCTTGCTGCTCTCCCCCGTCACGGATTCACAGGAGGTGAGCTTATTTATCTTTTCCATTTTTCACTGTCAGTAGCATTACATAGATGCCTTCCTTGAAGCTATAACGATTATATTAAATTTAACGTAAAAAATTTTGAGCTTTCTAAACAAGCTTGTATAATTATATCCAATAGTAATTTAATTATTGTTTGCACAGATTTGAACTTTCCTAAAACGCTAATTCAAAATTATTTTACTTCAAAATTTGAATCTTTCATTTTTAATTATTTTCTTCTGTCATATATTTAGTTATATTATTTATTACAGATTCTTAAGTAATATTAGTTTTTCCGCTCAAACCTTTTGGACTAAAATAACTTTTCGTCAACAAAACTTTCAATTTACATCTTTGTAAACAAAGCGGAAAGTGATAAAATTTCACGTTGCAGTGTTTTGAGTTTGAGCTGAATAACTCGTTTCACGGTTCAATATGTGAGAGTTTTCGCAATCGTCTTTTCGTGGAACTTTCAGAAGTCCGTGTGCTCGGAAATGGCGAGCGAATTGCGATACGCTTTGGACTGCGGCAACGGAAATAAAAAGCCGCCGGGGAAGGCGCTTTGTCGACGTCAGGGGCAACATTCAAGTCTGTCGATCGTTTCGGAGGAGGGCAAGTACGCGGCATGCAACAAGTACAGGCACTTCGTTGGAAAAGCACCTCTGACGTGAACAAAGGAACGCCTGGCCGAGCGGAAAAGCCGAGTGATGAATTTCTTTGCGAAATTAATTGCTTCCTCGCTCATATGTAAATTAAAATATACATGATCGATCAATTTGAAATACGGGCGCGACAATCCAGAAAACGAAATTGTCACAAAAATGACAAAAATTATTTCTAATTGCAAAAACACTTTTAACAAATACAACGAAAAAGCGAAATGTCGTCAGACAATTGTAGCGAGATTGAATTTTGTCAAGTTTCAAGTCGAACACGATACTACATCTCCAGATAGGAAAGAAAAGAAGAAAACGCCATTGAAACCACCCTAGCACCAGGAGGGTCCTGTAAATTCGTTGCGATGGGAATTCGCGATACGATTTAGAGACAATGTGTAAAAACAAACAGGGACTTAATTCTAATCGTGTATCACGTCTGTCCTTTTTTTACGAGCCACCGTTGAATTTAAGATAGTTCACCATCTACATAGTCCCTCGTTAAAGCGTCTGTTAAAGCGTCATGCGAGGTAGATGCGTGCGAGAAAACGAGCGAATGAACGAGAGTCGCGTGGAATGGAGTGATCTTTCATCGACCGTTAAAGATGCACCGTCGTTATAACGTAAAATATTCTATTGCAATCGATCCGAATATTGTCATCCGTGTAGGTTAATTTGTTCGGATACGGTGGAACGTAATTACACGCGCGTACTAGCGATTTCGAAGGTCTCCTCGTGATAAATATAAATAACGCAAAGGAATTTTCACGCATTCCACCTTTAATCCGCAAGATCTGACATCGCGAATGGTCATTTGCACTATTTTGTATCGCAAACCAACGTTTCGTGTGTGTGTGTGTGTGTGTGTGATTCGCGATAAGTAGTTAAAATTTTTGAACAAACTTTATCTGAATTTATTCCTACCCTTAGCTGGTCTGACGGGGTCCATAAGGTCATTAAAATATTATTTGAATAAACTAGAGTTAATTGTCTAAGCTATTCTAATTATCCAGACTATGTAGATGATGTATTTCAAGCCGCACGACGCGTTCGCGTAAGTAATACATTGTCGATATTCTATCTAATGTAAAAGACTGCTCTACTCTCCTAACAGGATTGTTTTCACGAAATATATGTCATTATTCTCGTCCGATTAACGTTTCCATTTAATCGCGTAATCATGCGGACCTTGTGAACCAAGCAGTATTCATTTGAGTCTTCCCTCTATCGTGAAAGGAGAAAAAATGTTAACGTTAAAAGTGAAAAACATAAGCACCGCGATTCGCGCAGTCTAATATTTAAACTCTCGAGAAAGAGTGCCGTATAAATCAACAAGGTGTGAATGTATGAATGTTCTACGTCGTGTTGAAGAGTGTTTGACATTCCGATAGCTTGTACGCGAATATTATTTTAAGATCGAGCGTAAAAGCGAGGAAGAGCGTAAAATGCATTTTGTTTCTTTCTCCTGTACTTGCACCTTCCACACGAATTTCGTTGTACACCAGTTTATCGAACTTTGAATGCAAACCATAGAGAAGTACGCACAGATATGCGATACACACATATACACACACGTACACGTACGCATATAACAATACTCATTGTAAATATCGTCGATACTATTACATACTTGTTACATATTTGCGTTCATATGTCGCGACATACGAGTTTGTTAAGAGCCTATCGCGATTCTACTTCTTATATAAAATGTAATACAAGCATCAACACATATTAAATGTGAATAAATTATTCGTCTGTAAATTCTCATTTAAACGCTCCTTGTTATAATTGTCCTCATCACACCCATTTCCCCGATTGACCGCGATTATTGTTGTTTGATCATGGCAATGTATCATATTGTTAGTCTACAATCAGCTAATTGTATTGTTCATCGATTCCCTGTTGTTTCTAAATTGTTCTGACAAATAATTAAATAATATAAAAGAATCTTAATCTCAAGTAAAATTATATAAAAATAAAAATCTTAATGTTACACTTAAAAAATGCCAATGTGTTTATTTCATATATTAAGGTATTCTTATACACTGTTCATCGATTGATATGTAAACGTATATTGACATTTATAAATATAAGAAATATCTTCAATCTCAATAATAAATGTATTTCGCTCTTGATAAAATATGAATCCGATTTTTTGCATGATGGTCGAGATTAATAGAATAGAAATCAGAGATTAGAATAGAGATTAGAATAGAATAACGCTACTGACTTGTATAACCATGGAGATTAAAATCAATTAAGAAAATTGGTACAAGATTAAAGTATTAATAATAATTGTTTTATCTTTTTTCTTATTTCCAGGTAGTAATAGCGATAATTATAATTTCAATTTCATATTCATTTCCCGCGAGGTTATACTCTTACCTGCGATTGCAATCTTGGTTTGCGTTACCCACGCAACTAATTTCTTTAACATTTACATTAACGCTCTCTCAACTCCACCCTTAACGTCAGAGCATCAACGTAATTAAATCTAATGTAGATAAATATATAGATGCATGTGGACGATATGCGCATTGCTATAAATATTTCTGAGCAGTTTCTTTACGGTGTGTGTGATTGCGTTGGTAACGATATACGTAGGAAACTAATAGTTTTAATATTTTCCAAATATTTCTCAATTTGGGAGACGGTGGACCGATTTTGCGACAGCATAGTCCATTTTAAGCGCATGCACAGCTGCCTTTCATAACTTTGTAAAATCCCAAGTGATATGGAAATAGAAACTTAAGAGATAGATATAGAAATCTAAAAAAATATTTATATATTTGATAAAATATTTGATTTTATATTTCATTAAAAATATTTTACGTAAATATCTTTTTACGATTTTCGATTCTTTCGCAGCAAATACTGGCTGTGTAGGAGATCAGTTTTTTATTCAGTTTACGTTTGCGATGGAGATGCGGCGTGATTTTAAAAAATATATAGTTGTATCAAAAAAGAACGCAGGAAAGTTTCTTAAAATATAAAAATTTATTTGAAATTTCTTAGGTCTCTGTGATACCGACGCTGACCAATCCTTGACACGTTTCCCTGAAAGTACCATCGCACATTATATTCCCACTCTGCCCGTCGACGACGACGACGACGACGCGGACGACAAGCGTTCCTCGTCGCCACGACGGATCGTGAAAATTTTAGGAAGGGAGTTTAGAGCATGCGCTGCCGGGTTGAGCCGCGCGCGAGAAGTGCCATGCCATGCCATGCCGTTCGGATTTAGAGTCGCGTGCCGCGCGAGTTTCGTACGGTAAAGCACACGCGTCCTCAAAAGTGCCGAGTGGAACGAATCGCAACGTCACGTCTTTAGGTAAGCCCATGCAAGCCCTCGGGAACGATCCACTCGCGAGGAATAGCCGTTTTCCCGTTTCGGCTATCAGTTGAATCCCGATACGTGCTTCATTTGGTATATAAAACTAAAACTTGTATGTAACTCACGCCGCGCTTCTATCCCCTTGAAAATCTTTTCCGCTCCCCCGTCCCCCGAGAATTTTCAGCCAGTGAGTCTTAAACGACCAAAGTAAAACGAGTTTGGAGAGAGATCTGGGAAATTGGTCTGGCCAAGTTTGTTTCTTCGAACGCGACGATACGTGCGACTACGCACTTGATAAAGTGACTATAGATTTATTCTCGGGGAGAATACCCTTCGTGTCTCCAGATATCACGATAAGTATACATCAAATGAAGTACGGGAAAGAGATAGAGCAAATACATTCTTGAGGCTGACAGAAGAATTACATGCAACGGCGATTCTCTAAAGAAAAAAAAATATCTTCGATTGTATATCGTCGAAATCTATGTCACACGGCGAAGGCGACAAGCACCGGTGGCGGCGGCGATGCTCGGCGTCTAAATATATCGACGTCGTTATGCGTTCTCTTAAGATTTTCGTTAGTTTACAGTGTCGGCGTCGTGTCGACCTCGTGTGCTGGACCGTCACAAAAATCCTTGATCGCAGCAAAATCCTCGATGTTTGTTAATTATTTGTTGCGCTTAATGCGATTAAACAACACCGGCACGTTGTAAAGTATCTAATTCGGCCGTGATAAAAGTAATGATATATAGACATGAATGCGAAAGACCCGCTTTGATTGAATGAATGAAAAAGAAAGCGCCAGACTGCGTGCACTTGGCACGATGACAGTAGACTACGTGGAACTCCGAATGCGTACGATGTCGCTAAAAATTCACACGCTCAAGGTAGACGCTGCTCGCGCCTCCGGCATATAACAAGCATTTGAGAAGAGTATTTATGTAGGTTCAAATAAACTAATCATTTCGAGAAACACATGATTATAATGAATATTTATCAGTTACGTATTTACGAATACGTACATTGTTAGATTTTAAAGGATGAAATTTAAACCAATATCTCGAGTTGAATAACATTTTGTTTATTTTTAACAATTATGTGTGTCGAAATTTATTATTTTAACACAAAACAGTATTATTTTAACTCGGTTGATTTAGTTAAATTAACATTGTTTTAGTTAAACTAACGACGTACTGAGTAGGAGCAATGGCGACTTATAGGAATAGTTAAAAATGACTCAAGTTGAGTATAAATGACACTACGAATTTAACAATATAACTTGTACTCAGAACTTTTGTGATTCCTCATCTATATTTTCTTCTCTATAAATACCAGCATTCGAATTTATTTCAACAAAAATTTAAAGGAATATCGAATTATAATCTAATGATTAAGGAATTTAAAAACTTATTTGTCAGCTTTAAGAAAAACTTTAAAGAATTAAGTTTCAAGAATGTAAAGTTGATGTAATTTTAGCTAATTTCATTATTTTTATAATTCATTTAAACAAAAATTTAATTTAATCGTCTTAAATTATGTTAGAAAAATGCCTGTCTATAATGGTCAAGTAAAAAATCTCTAATATAAAATAAAAACATTTAATGATTTTATCTCTCGAAAACTCTACCGTAAAAATTTATAAAAATACATATAAAATAAAAGAGAGAGACATGCCCCATTTCATTAAGATAATATTATGCACAGTTTATTTCAGAAACGATTTTTTGACAGCAAAGAGAAATTTAATGTAATTAACTTTTATTCGACGAGTTGAGTAGAATAAAATGCGCATGCAACATTTTATTTGTGTTCATAGACAATTTGGGGCAATGTCGTTATAAATATATGTATATTTATAAAAATATCTGTCTAATAATTTTGATCAAGAAAATTTTGTCAAGAAAAATTTAAATCTGCCCAAGAATTTTTAGACAACTGAAAAAGAATGACAATTCTTGCATGCATCGGATATTAAATTATCAAAATTAGTCTCGTGCATGGCTAACAAATTGCTTATACAAACACGTTACTATTGATTTACTTCATGGCGCACAGTCTAATAATCGCTGTAACAACATATTACAAAGAGACAGAAAAAAAGAACTTATATTTTCCCAACGGAAAAATAAACTCGAAAAAGTAACGTGGAGATCTCTCAGAGGGTGCACAGGGATTTATTAAGAGTATTAAGCATCAAGCAAATACCTAAAGCTCAATATTGAAAGATTGATTTTAGACGGGTCTAAATATTTATGCGCGCCGAGAGCGACTTTCAGGCGGCGCGGTGCCTTCTGGTTAGTTTATATAACGTCGGGCCAGTTAAGTACTCGTTCAAGACCTTTCCATTTGGCTATATACGTGGCGCTTGGCGCGTACGTGCCGTTTATATCTGACTTTGTTGGATACACATCTGCACCTGTCAAGATGCTCATCGGTAAGCTGATGCATTTTAATTCTATTCATTGTGTGTACGCAGGAATGATCATAAGATGGTGACCAAGCCTCTACTGATATTATTGCCGATATTCCTGTTCCACGCGTGTGTGTTTGGTTTCCCCAGGAAGGTACCAATAGGTAAGATAAATCAATATGATTGACGAATAAAATATATAAAAAGGCATTATATTTCCGTATCCATATTTTTTTGTGGATTTTAAAATCTATATTACACTATAATATACCTACAATATCAAAAGAAAATATATCAATATTTGCAGTAAATTATAGTTTCCAAATGCAATTTTATAATGTTTATTAAATCTATGAATATATTAAAACATTCTTATTATTCAATTTTCGCACCATGGCGAACATAATATTACACCGTTGCTAATATCTTTAAATGTTAAAAGAAATGTTGGAAGAACTGTGTTGAATCAGATTTGCGCACACACATTGATGCGCACTACTTCACGGAAAAGCTCTTTCGTGAGCTATTTCGGTCGTGTCAGTGAGACTCGATTTTAAAAAAAGCCGGCCATGTATTACAGTGGGGTTGTTCGATCAAGATGAAGAAATCCTGGATATGTTCGAAGCGTCGGTGAAAGCGGTGAATAAAGACGGGGTTGAGGACGAGGATGTGTTCTTGACACCGATAATAGAAGAGATTAAAGCGGATGCGTACGAAGCATCATTGAAAGGTAAAGCTACTAGCGATCCCTACAAAAATTTAATACTGTAAGTGATTAATTGGCTACTAATTAATTACTTATTTTACGTATTAAAAGCATTAAAAACAGTACTTTTAATGCTCGAAATAAGTAATTGATCACTAGCCAAATAATCATGCATTTACAGTATTGAATTTTTGTAAGGGAAATGTTAGAGTAACGTGTATGATACCAAATCATATCATTCAATATATCATACATTTTATACTGAACATCTGACTGTGTCTTCTTATATATAGGCTTAATATTAAACATAATCTTATTTTTAAACTAAAATATCTAATAAATAAATATTATAGATGATCACATTTCCGTCTTAATCGGGCATACAATTTTCCATAATTTACATTTTATTAATTATACATATATAAAGAAAATGTGAACACAATTTATCGTTGTAAAAAAAACTGTTCTTACATGCATAGCACAAATTTTCCCCAAAAGATATAATTACCGCATTATTTTTCCGGAAGTGTGATCGAAATGACGTAGCCTGGGATTATATTAAACGTATACTTCTAATCGTACAAAATCGATTTTTCGATTGTTTAGTATGCGAACAGCTGAAATTTGGAATAGTTGGTATTTTTGGACCTCAGGACAAAGCGATTGCTGAACACGTGCAAAGCATATGCAATACAATAGAAGTACCACATATCTCTGTGCGACAGGATCTTGACCTCTCTCAACCGCGCGGGTTAGGTCTGAATGTATATCCGCATATAAGCTCGTTGTCACGAGTAAGTAATTGAAATTTAAAAGATTAATATCGCGTTAAATACGCTGTAACTGATATAAATAATATGAATTATACAATTGTGTCTTGCTTTTCAACAGACATTAATTTTCTCGAAGAAAGTTTATCAATTATATATTTACAAAAATAAAATATAATTTTTATCTGCATTAGATAAAAAATGAAAGCTAACAAATTATTTATAATTATCGTAGAATATAGTGATATATATATACGTTGATGTATTTAGAAGCCAAAAATTAATTACAAAATTAATCAACAGGATACCAAAAACTCTGTAAGGCTGTAAAACGTGACGGCCACATTGATAAAATTTTCTTGTCAAATAATTGTTTACCATTGTTTAAATAACATGTAGCAAATTATTGATTTCTTCAATTTATTAATAATTTTATTAATAAACTCATCTCTGATCAAACTTCTTTAAGCTGGGAAATACTTTTGAGCGGTAGTATATTTGTAGTATTCTATGTCTTCAATTTTTTTTATTTAAATTTTTCTTTATCTTAATTTATGTTTTATTCAATAAAACCTGTTCCCATATTGATATAATGGTCACCGTCAAATCTTTTACAGCTTTATAATCAACTGGTCACAGAGTTCAAATGGAAATCCTTTGCAATACTGTACGAAGACACCGACAGTCTGATTCGCATACGTCCACTGCTGGAGCGATGGGACACACATGGCACCTCTGCGTTCATGTACCATTTAGGCTACGGGCCGAATTATAGGTATACAATGAGAAATATCTAATCTCGCAATATAAAGTATAAATATCTTGAAGGTTTTTCAATCCCACGATCGCGAGAAAATTGGTCTTCTTGATGCTTGAGAATATTAGTCATGAATAACTGATTTTACATATTTATATATGTAGATATATGTATAACTAATCGTATTAATAATTCTTATACACATATAAAATATGCTCATCATTCGCTTATTGTTTCAACATTAATTTTCTTAATCGTCAAATATATTATTATAAAATGTGAGCATTTTTAATGGCCATTAGGATGTAATAACACTTTTCAAATATTCAATAAGTGACTTTTAGACATTTCTTCAACAAGACAACTATAGATAGCTTTTAGTATGGAAATTATGTCAACGTCGAAAATGATTAAGTGGGACTAGAAAGATCGGCGAATTAATTCATGGAGAAAATTTTCGAAGTAGAAAGTTAGTTAATTGTACAGCTTAGCATCGAATCTTGTCTGTAGGCAAGGAATGGAAGAAATCAAAACATCGAGAATAGAGAACATTGTCATCGACTGTTCGTACGAGATTCTCGACGACGTTCTGAACCAGGCCCAACAAGTCGGCATTTTGTCCGACAAGTACAAAGTGATTGTAACTTCTCTGGTAAGATACATAAGGCCTTCCACAAGTTAAAAATAAAATTATAGAATAATATAACAGTTAAAGTTATTTCGCAACAGAATTTTACTTGAAATATAAAAATTGTACTTTTGAAAATTTTATGTTCTGCAAAAAGTACATGAATGTTGCAATAACAATATTTAACGGAAGTTAATAATAAATTTAGTGGAAGCTTAATTAACATATAAATGAAATTTTTGCATGAGAATTAAAAATTAGGTATATTATAAGAACGATCCATGCAAATAATTCTAGAAACTTTTAACAATTAATTCAATGTATTCATTGACACTACAAGTGCATTAGATATCTCATCGTCCTAAGCTTCATTAATATTATAATATGAATTTTTTATGATATGTAAACTATACGAGTATAACTTTGTGCGCATAATACCGTTTACATTCCGAAAGAACTAACGGATTAAATATAATACATGCCGATGAATGCGCATGCATGACAGGACCTGCAAACTCTGGATTTAGAGCCATATCAGTACTCTGGCGTTAATTTCACCGGCGTGCGCTTGATTGACCCTGAAGATCCGACAGTGTTAAAAATTCTGGACAGGCATAAGAAGGAATGGGACCTAGACGACCCCTCGCAACTGCGAGTTGAACCCGCGCTCATGTATGACGCGGTACAACTGTTTGCGATAGCTTTCAAACAATTGAAAGATGCTACCAAAGGCGACATCAGGGCATTGCCATGCAATGGCACTGTCAGATGGGAACACGGACTGAGTTTAAGCAATTTTCTGCGATCGGTAAGATGTGAAAAATGCTTTAATTTAAATATTTCAGATATTTCTAACATATCGAGTGTTTTTAATCCAATCGCGTTATACGTAAATTTGATTGGCATCAATTGCAATTTCAATTTCAAGAATACAAATGAATACAAAACACCGAAATCGCTGGCATACTTAATTCTTGTGATATCAATTACAACAAATTTTTCTTATCTTTGAATTAATTTATTCGTTGTGTCATTCTTTCGTTATAGAAGCAAATCTTATGATGCTGTTTCGCTTTCAGACCGAAACAAGAGGCTTAACAGGCCTTGTCAAGTTTGATAGGGATGGTTTTCGTAGTAATATAGAAGTGGATATCGTACGTTTGACTAAAAATGGTCTGATAAAAATTGGCGAATGGAATAGTACAGCAGAGAATGTCGATTGGCTGCAAGAAATCAGTACTCCAAAATTAGACGTTCGATTCATACAAAATAAAACCTTTATAGTTTTGATATCCCTTACAGAGCCTTATGGGATGGAAAAAGAGTCGATTGTCAAGTTAAGTGGCAACGAGCGTTACGAAGGTTTCGCGGTAGACATAATAGAAGAACTTAGTAAAAGACTTGAATTTAATTATACCTTGCAAGTCGAAAAGGACTACGGATCGTTAAATAACAAGACTGGAAAATGGTCCGGAATGCTTGGCAAAATTATAGCTGACGTTAGTATTGAATGTGTGTCGAGAAATATAAAATAAAATAAAAACAAAAAGATAGAGCTGCCCCAACATAATTCGGGATTCACAAATTAAAGATATAACGGTCTTCCAGGAAGCGGATCTGGCCATCACGGATCTTACAATCACATCCACCCGGCAAGACTACGTCGACTTTACGAATCCGATAATGAACCTAGGTAAATTTAGGACATTTAGGTCAATGAAATTAATGTAATAATTTAATATTACTATAAATAAGCTAAATAAATTTGATTT